TATTCTTTACTTTAAAAAGAAGCTCCGCATTGACAAGACTGAAATTGTTTAACATCAAACTATAGTCTTAATTTTGTTTGGTGATCTTCCCTAAAGATTCACCAGACGGCGAAATACAATGTATCGGCTTCAATGCCGGTTCATTAGCATATCACCAAAATAGCGCGATCTGAGGTGTAGCGAGTAATATTGTAGTTCAATCGTATTACCATAGAAACGGATAAAACAATTACAGAATAATTTGAACTTATCCAAATGTTTTTGAAGAGAAGTTATCTAGTGATGTCAGGTGGTAAAATCAGTTCTTTCTTGTATCCTCTCATTCTCAACTCACATACAGACAACAGATTTGAACTGCATTGTAAATTACAAAATAACAGAGGTAAAGTACAATGTCTTTGTATTTGCGTAATACTAGTATGATGTGCATGTGTCCGTATTTCTGAGGTCTGCACAAAAAGCCAAAAAGATGAAACGACAAAACCGTGCGATAGTTTGACTTTGAATTACAATGACAAATTCTAAGTGAAAAACACAGACATATCCGAAGAAGGTTGTATAACAGAAAAAAACAAAACCAAATACAAAACGAAACAAAATTAAAAAAAAAGAAAGCCAACACACAAACACGCCAGTATTGTATGTAGGTGTATTACTATATTTCCTTTTATAGATCACAGGTTTTCAATTTCTAGGAGTAATTTGTTTTGATTATAATTTTTGAAATGCACTTTTTAGGTCTTCATAGATATCTTTAAATGTTTTTGTCCTTGGCACTGGCGGAATGATCACATGATATTTAATAGTGATCTTTCCTTAGTTCCAAATACGAAAACTGGGAATCATCTGCAGAAAATCGACGAAACAAGAAGAATAAAAAATTCCAAATACCAAGAAGTGAGTTGGTTTTAACGTGCTAGTTTACAAAGGAAGTCCACAGGAAAACTTGTCACCCTACCCGTTAACACAGTGAATCGACCAGTCTTTGCTTTTATTTCTTAATGCCGCATACCTAGTGGAGAAGCGCCACATACCAATATTAAGTCTTTGGTTTGACCCGGCCAGAGATTGAACCCACGACCTCCGCCAATTGAGGCTGGTACACTACAATGAGACCACCAAGAAGCGTATTTCAAACTTTAAAAAATGTTAATATAAACTTTACAGATCTGTTTTATCAGAATCCATCAAGAATTGTAAGGATGATAGCGGTTAAAAGGTAACTTATCACACATATTTTTTTTCCAAATACCACAGTTAGAAAAAAATTGGCATGGATTTTTGAATTTGTCTCGAGATATTATTAATTTAATCCTTACATATGTATGAACATTCTTAAAATTTTATAATAACTGTGAGGATGGAAGAGCATACAAGACACTCATTTGCATAATTTACATGTCCATACAGAGTTATCCATGCATCCACTTCAACAACTTTAAATATATATGAATCCAGGATATTAGGTTTTTCAATGTTTTCCCGTGCAGAACAAAAATACCCAAGTTACGGAGAAATACGAAGAAGTTTTTCATGTCTCAATACGTCCGTTGGTCAATATTACATGCATATCAGGTGGAAAATTCACAAGCCTCCCTCTGGGGAAATAATTTCAATTGATTCAAATCGGGAAAATTAGTTATGCTGTCTTTCGATTCACTTCAAAATTCAACAGAAAACATGTGACTGTTTTTTCGGCCAGATGGTAGGTCAACACAAATAAAATCCTTTACCTTGTAAAAATTCATATTTGTTGTTGTTTTCACGATAAACATATATATTAATGTATTTTTGCCTATAACTCGGCAGCTATAGTTTCCTGTAATAGCTTTGTCACGGTGTCATTGGCTGAACAAATTCAAAGAATTCTGACAGTCTGGCTGTAGAAAATAACTGTTTGTTCAGTTTATAGGATGACAGCTGGAAAATGACAGTCGCATAGAATTCCATTATATTGATAAATATGTGTGAGCAAAGCAAACAGACATAATAGATGGGAAAATATATTATGTAAGCTGTACATATCTGCCGTGATTCCTTATATCTAAACTGTGTTGTAGTTTCTAGAAATATGATTTAAAGGTAATACATTTTATAATTGAATTTTATTGAGGGATGGCGTACCCGGTAGTTGTCATGTTAAACATGTTCCCGTTTCCCAAACTTTTAGACAATTTACGTATTTTGTGATATTACTCATTTCTCAAATATAAGTTTATACAACATGAATAAAGATTTGATTTGATAGTTTTTTGCCTTACATCATGTGTCAAATATTTCATTCATGATTAGGACGAGAATAAAACATTAACAACACATTCATTATGTAGGTTTTGCAAAGTCGGTCGACGAAGGGCGAGGATTTTAGACTGTCACTGGGAGAAGTAGGGTGTGTTGAATGTGGGGCAGATATTTTGCCTAGCAACAGACCACATACGAACCCTCAATTAGTTGTTACAAGAGTGATGCCTTTTAGTGAGCATTGCTATTACCTTGCACCAGTCATCAGGTTTAACGTCACAATTACAATAGGACGTGTCTATGTATTTATACAACCACACAGCTAAACAGACACCCTTCTTTATTAGTGGTATTCCGTCGAATAAATGAATTCCATGGCACCTATTCTAAACAATATTTTAAACAGCCAACATGTACATAATTTGAACTGGAAAAGCATATTGTTTTCATTCTTAGACTTATTTAGTATCGAACCTTAACAAGTTTATAATAACACAATATAACTGCATGTATCGATACTTAACTCAATATGCGTTTTAAGATAAAACGGCAACAAACTTTATGTCTGTTAATTTATAAATTCTGAAGTGAATATTGAATTTCGACAATTTTACAGTTACAGTTTAATAATTCGAAGCATTTAACAATTGATCAAAACTATTAACAGCACATGTCAAAATGAAAGCGACTTGGCTGTGTACAAACTATTTTTTTTTATAATTCGAATATTTGACATGAAACATTTTTTTCATAGAGTAGACTTGAATTTTGGGTATGAAGGAGAAATAGAAAATAAGAAATACAGATGTATTTTAAATCTTAAGGTTTTCAAAATCATCAATAGCAATCAACTTCGGGAAGAAAAAAAAACACGAGTGCAACTACATTCAATTTAGAAAAGAATAATAAAGAAGAAAACAGGAAGTATGAAGGAAGTCAAAGAGTCATGATAGCAATAAGGTCACCGGGAGTAAGTCCTCTGCTGAGGAGGGTGTTCTTTTGGTTATGCATGATGTATATACAGTCGAAATCGTAATGGGATAGTCCCATGCTCTTTGTGTTTTCTTTGGTTACATAGTTAATTGTTTTTATAGTGATTAAGATTATAACACAATATTGACGGCTGTACCCCAATTTTTAACATGTTTACCTATTATGTCTTTTTGTTTTGCTCACACATTGTTGTCAATATAATGGAATTCTATGCAACTGTCATACAAATGATTTTGCCATTTGACAAAGGACTTTCCGTTTTGAATTTTCTTTGGAGTTCAGTATTTTTGTTATTTTACTTTTGGCAAGTAAAGTTATTCTTGCAAGAAGTCTTTGAGGAGTTGGTTGGTGGTTTATTGCTCGGCATTTCTACCACAACCCAACATATCTCACATTTCTAGAGACAGTCAAAATGTCTTGATCTTCATTTTGATAAACAATTCTCTTCAGAGCCTACCTTAACTATTTATTGTTTAACTGTCATCGTCCTGAATTTACATGATATATGTTCCCCTGTTCGTTTTGCACACAACCACTGATCTATCACAGAAAGGTCGGTTAATCCCTGTTGTTAATCCTTATTTTGTTAGCATGTAGTGTAACCTCGGCGTGCTCAATGTACAAATACAGCCTTTGGTCTTTCTAGAAAAAAAACATAGTTTTGGATATAATAGTTATCAAACAAACAAAAAACTGAATAGAAAAAAGTCAAATAACAAAAATACCGAACTCCAAGGAAATTTCAGAACGGCAAGTCCTTTATCAAATGGCAAAATCTAAAGCTCAAACCTATCAAACGAATGGAAAATAACTGTTATATTTGGTACAAGCGTTTCCTTGTGTAGATAATGGTGCATTAAACCAGGTTGTATAACTATGGTTTGCAAAGCAAACAGGCATAATAGGTAAAAATGTCAAAACTTGGGGTACAGCAGTCAACATTGTGTTATAATCTTAAATTACTATAAAAACAAATGACTATTTCAACAAAGCAACTGTATTCAGAATAATATTAAAGAAGTACCACCGTGCTTCATAAATGTCACTCCCAGACAAACGATGTAATAATTACATAATCGAAGAAACTCCAAAAGAAAGTAGTCATAAACTTACCCCAGACTAGAGAATGCTATAAATGAAACAACTCCAAGAGGCCAAAATATAAAATATAAACAACTCCCATAGAAAATAATTTGTTTTCATAAAAGAAACATGTCCAACACACCGAAATATAAAACTATCTACTAGTATTACTTCGTTATTTGGATTGATCTCGCATTGACTTTAACCCTGCATCTACTTTTTATTTACACAAAAGTGAAAACAAAACACAGAAAAAGGGACTTGAAAAGAAACAAGAACTAAAAAATAACCAGAACTAGAGAAATATAACAAAACAAACTATTTAAATTGACGCATTTTAGAAGCATATACAAATTTGCCCTCAAAACATTAACAGACAAAGGATATTAAAGAAGATATACGATATTAAAAAATGTACCAAATTTCATTTATAAACGACGTGTTCATCTCTCATTTAAAATTTTGAATATCAGGATCTTTTGTTATTTATATTGATCGATATCAATTTTGTTCTACCTAAAATTAATCTATATTCCTTTTACCAACTACTAGTATAAGGACATGAACTTGATATTTATATTTGCATTTCATAAATATTTAATAAAATTTCTTGCAATCGATTTCCCTTTTCATTCATATATATTATATAGTTCTATTTCTGACCATTTAAACACATACTTTAACTCCTAAGGATTGTTGTATTTTACTTTTAAAAACGTAAAAGATTAAAACGATTAATTAATCTCTTAAACAAAAGGCTCTCGTCTTAAAAATCAGCCACGTCGCCCCGGTATCAAGTTAACTTGTTTTCTTCTATTTACAAATGGTTTAATTCTAAGGTAAGGCATTGTTTATTTATTTATTTCATGTGATTGTTTATTTATTTATTTATTTATTACATATGAGAATATGTGATCACAGCAAAAGAAATTGTTTATTTATTTATTTATTTATTTATTTATTTATTTCGTATGATAATATGTACTCACAGCATTTCGATTAAACAACAAAATATCTTGTATTTTTTGCACCTTGTTCACAGCTAATATTATGCATTTATCATAAAAATATTATCAAAATTTGTAGAAGAAATAATATTTCCTTTTACTTTTGTTTGGCAATAACAACATAGTTTATTAAATGGAAATTTACAGACTTAAAATTTGATTTAAATCTCAACAGCTAATTTCGAAGCATTGACTACTGGACTGATGTTACCCTCATGAATCGATAGTCCACCAAAAGCGACAATGACCAAGTGGTAGTAAACAAAACAAATGTTACCGATTCCCGTGCGCACGAATATTAAACAATTATGGCCTTTTGTCAGAAGTTAAAATGAGGATGAAGTCATAAGGGAACGACCATTTAACTTCAAAAGGGGGGGGGGGGGGGGTTTATGGTTTTTCTTAAAAAAAATTTCTGATCCCCAATTGGATGAAAAAAAAAAATTCTGTTCAAGCAGATGACAAAAAAATATATTCTGAATCCAGATTTTCCCCATACCAAATACTATTAAATTTTGAAAAAAATAATTTGATTGATAGCGTTGAAAAACTAAATAAAATTGTTCGCGCTTTGTGCGAAAAAAAAAAATTCTGACTCAGACAAAAAAATCCCCCCCCCCCCCCACCCCCCTTTTGAAGTTAAATGGTTGCTCCCTAAATACCAGAAAGAACATCAATATAAACATCTTTATACTAGTGAATTCAAAAACGTAATTGTTTTAATAAATTTTGTTTTTGCGTATTACCCCTGTTGACGGAGGCTGTCATGCTGTAAAGCAAACGATTTCCCGCAAATTTGTATATCTGATTACGTTTAAGTATCGATAAATAATACAGACTCCATCTTCCTTCAAAGGCAAATCCAGCCTCATAACGTTTTATTTTTACTACGGGTGCGTTCCAAAACAACTATTTTGCCTACGCGCAGTTTCCCGCTGAAAAAAAAGAAGTTGTTTTGTGATTATTTTGTTAGTAGTTACGATAGTAAAGTATAATATTATCAAGTACTCATTTTATAACGATACATCCTTATATCTGTCTGTCATTGACATCTGCTCTTTAAAACATACATTTTGACTTGTATATGTGTCTTTTTTTAAACAAAAAAAATAAAGAAAATATCAAAATATTTTAACAGAATCATGCAATTTTACTTTGACAGACTAAATCAAATACACCAGCAGATCATCTATGATTACTTTTTAGTCAAAGTGATGTGCCTATATTCTATGAAACATGATTGATGATTGTGGATGTATTATTTCATTAATGATCTGTCAGACAGTGCACATTGCAGTTTGATGTAATGTGCACCTCTCCAGCAAAAACTCTAGGAAAGCATCTATAATTTGAAACGAGTTTTTCACATGATTGAAACTAGTTTTGGTTAAATGTATAATGAAGAAAAACGAGAAAAGATATATTACTTGTTGATTTTCATGTTACAAAGGGTTGGTATGAAATTGACTACTTAATGTGTTTTGACATCCAGGATACTTATTACCAAAATCGACTGAAAAACGAACATTATGTGCACAATGTAGTAATAAACTTTGTAGCTACCTCTCACCACCGATCTATATTGAAGCGAACAAGAGTAAATCTTCAAAAAGGAGAAACCACATATCAAATTATAGTTATAGAGTCGATTTCAGGCATTTGGAAATGATTCTTTGCAAGGGTTATACCAAAGCTGTATAATACATGATCAAATACTTTTTGGATATTACAGGTCCAACTATCATGATGTATATAAGAAAGGACCTATCTATAGTAAAGCGATAAACTAAACTGTGAAATCATCTAAGATGTTTAAGACGTTTACAGGTACTTCAGGGTTACTGACAATTAAATGGTTGTACATTTATTTCGAATCTATAACTTTTTTGTGGAATTTTGATGTTCAGTACGGATTCTAACTTGTAGTTGTTCCTTTTGGTCTTTGATGGATACATGTCTTATTGGTAATCATGTCATCCAATTAATTGTTTAAGACCCTACAGTTACTTGTCTATAGTCTACAGTAAAAGAGAGGCGAAAGATACCAAAGGGTTATTCAAACTCCTAAGTCGAAAATAAACTGACAACGTAATGGCTTAAAAAGAAAAAGACCAACAGACAAACAGACAAACAGACAAACAACAGTACACAAAACACAACATAGAAGACTGAGCAACACAAACCCCACCGATAACTGGGGGGTGATCTCAGGTGTTCCGGAAGGGTAAGCAATACCTGCTGCACATGGGGCACCCGTCGTGTTGCTCATGATAGTACAAATCCGGTAATAAGTCTAATTCGGTAGGTCACATTCGGGGAAAAGGGGACGGGAATGTAGTTATGATATTTGGAACATATCCGCTATCATCTGCGAAACGGATATTCCATAACGGTCAACCAACTCGGGATGGCGTCCGTAAAATTTACGAAGGTATGATTTCAACTTCACCACTTGGAACTCTTGCTTTAATGGCTTCCTTGTGAGTAGCAACCATCTAAAAAGGAAATCATGATAGGAAATGCAAGCCCTGGAATATCGTATCAACTGGGAGATATATACTCCGTATGCAGGCGCGGCTGGAATGTTGCTACATAGAAATGGAAAGATCACAATTGGGAAGCTGAAATCATCTCTTTTGTCGTAAAGTTTTGTTTTCAGCCGACCCTCATTGTCAATTTCTAGATGTTAGTCAAGATATGAGGCAGATTTAACTGTATCTGTTGTATCCTTTATCTCAAGTTCGATGCTGTTTACAGAACGTAATCATTGTCCTTTGGTCCTTGTTGTATACATATCTCATTGGCAAGCATTCCATTTAATCCATTGTATAAGACCCTACGTTTACATCCCTGTTTTAGGTCTTTCATTGACAATCACACCGCATCTTCTAATTTTTATTATGACGAGTTGTAAATTTTGTTTCGTTTATTGACACACACATATTAAAAAGTAAGCTAACAAAAAACTCCAATGAAAATTCCAAACGGAAAGTCCCTTATCAAATGGCACATCTTATCGAACACATCAAACGAATGGAAAACAACTGTCATATTCCTGACTTGGTACAGGCATTTCCTTATGTACAAAATGGTGGATTAAACCAGGTTTTATAGCTAGCTAAACCTTTCACTTGTATGACAGTCGCATAAAATTCCATTATATTGACAACAAAGTGTGAACAAAACAAACAGACATAATTGGTAAGAGAGGCGAGATATACCAAAGGGACATCTAAACCCATAAGTTGAAAATAAACTGACAACGCAAAGTAAAAAAAAACGATCAAAAGACAAACAACAGTATACAAAACACAACATAGAAAACAAAAGACTGAGCAATGTAACAAATACATAGTTATAAGATCATTATAAAATTTATTTTGTTTTCTGTGTTTCAGTCTGTCAAGTTGGGATTAGCAATGCCAGTTAAGTGGCAATGTCCGGGCTATCCAAAATGTCAGAAAATATTTCAATATGGTTCAGGATTAAAAGCTCACATAAATTCCTGTAAACGGGCACAGAGTAAGCGAGCGAAGAAGAAAAAAGATGAAATTGAGACCATTATAACTATCATTCAATTTGTGGAGGATAGACAACGCGGAAATATCACAATTGCTCGACGGAAAGTGCCTGATTTTATACAGCCAAGTGCAGTGCTCGCTAGGATTTGACAGGGATTTCTCTTATCTGCGACTATTGTATTTCAAGGATTTCTTTTTGTTCTGGAAATATATGGAAAAGATATGTTTATTTAATATGCTGCACTTTCTAAAACAACGTAACCATGAAAAGATAAATTGATTTGAATGTTTACATTTATATTATTCAAAAGTGGTAATATTCAATAAAAGTATTCTCATACGAAACAATACATTGAATAGAACTACAGACTTATATAGCTTTAAACTTTCAATGATTAAAAACTCTGAACTTCATTCATTCAATTAGTTGTATTGAATTACCGAAATTGAAAACCAGAGACGAGGGGCATTGGAACTATAACTATGCATTGATTCGTATATCAACTATCATGGGTTTTTTTCTTGCTGGTAAAGGCTGCATTTTACGGAAGAGCACTGTTTCTATTTATATGTAGTCTTGTGTACGATGAGTTATTTTTTTAAGCCAGGCCCTTTTCAATAAATTTTTTGAAAACATTACCAATGAGAGTTAAAGTTTTTGAATCTGTTAAAGGCTATTGTTTCATTTTTTGAAATGTATATTTGTGTAACATCAACTCCTATGACGTGCTCTTTTCTGCGACGTAATTGAGCTAATATTTTTTTGTGATTGTTAATGGGCAAATGATGCTTAGTTTAGTGTTTTTGTGTACCATGTAATATCATATATAAGCGCATGTATTATTGATATATTTCTCTCAAATAAAAATGAAAATTTTCTAATATATACCTTTCTAAAAGGCAGTATTTGTAAGATTTATACCATAAGAATGCCCCAGAAATACTAGGAGGTAAACTATTAAAAGAGTTGAAATTTGTTACAAAGTATCTGTAAGAACATACACCAAAAAACAGAAAGCTTAAAACAAAGAACACATTTGTGATACTATTTGAATTCTTTTTTTTTGTTTATTAACCAACCTCTATTACTGTAAACAATAAATGATCAGTGTGGTGATTTCTTGAAGTATACTTGACATTTAATATCAGACTATGATATTTGAAAACTGACACTTGTTTGTGAATTAGGAATTAGACTTATTACCGGGTTTGTACTAACATGAGCAACACGTCGGGTGCAACATGTGGAGCAGGATCTGCTTACCCTTCCGGAGCACCTGAGATCACCCCCAGTTTTTGGTGGGGTTCGTGTTGCTCAGTCTTTAGTTTTCTATGTTGTGTTTTGTTTGCTGTTGTTTGTCTGTTGGTCTTTTTTTTCAGCCATGGCGTTGTCAGTTTATTTTTGACTTATGAGTTTGAATGTTCCTTTGGTATCTTTCGCCTCTCTTAGGACACTATAAAAGAATATCGATTTTATATTTTATATATATACAAATTATTTCACGACAAAACCTATGAAATAAGACTTGGTATTTTCGAAAAGAAGTGTTTCCGTTGGACCATCAACATGCACCAATCATTATTGGTATTAAAGCATCGGAAAACACACTGTATTTTGTTTTAATTTTGGGTTTGCATTTACGCGTCTCCAAAATTTATTTTGAACACTAACCCTTTGTTTTTTTTTATGATATAAATTCATCTTTAAAAAATATGTCAAATCCATTATTCATTATTTCTTAGGCAAAATCCAAGAAAAGTATGAAATAATTTAAATCATATTAAAATATACATGTATTTTCTAGTCTTATTGTGTTACGGTTTTGCTTTTATGTTTTAGTATTGTCATTCATATAAAATATTACCATTAGTAAAATAACAAATATACCAAACTCCAAGGAAAATTCTAAACGGATGGAAAAACAACTGTCATATTCCTGACTTGGTACAGACGTTTTCTTATGTAGAAAATGGTGTATTGAACCTGATTTTATAGCTAGCTAAACCTCTCAGTTGTTTGACAGTCGCAACAAAATCCATTATATTAACAACAATGCGTGAGCAAAACAAACAGACATAATAGGTAAAAATGTCAAAAATTGGGGAACAGCAATCAACATTGTGTTATAATCTTAATCACTATAAAACAAATAACTATTTCAACAAAGAAAACAAAATGGCATATAGACACTCTATAGACAAAGTATATAGGCAAAAATGAAAGACAAGAATACAAAAATTACCATAGCACATTAACACATTGGTGGGATGTATAAATACCTAGCCAAGCCAGAAGTATATACCAAAAATGGACTAAACAGTAAGGGTTAAAAATATGAAAAGACAAATAAAAAGAACACTATAACACGTAATTAACACGACAAAAACCGTCAGTACCTAGAATCTATACTTCAAGACCATCATGTTTTATTTGTGTATATATGCAGGTGAAGTTGGTAAATTTGCTGCTTAGCTGGGGGAAATCTATAATTTCAAAATTAAAATCGTATCGCTTGTCATAGATTCTGGTACTGAGATGACCACTTATGTCAAATTCGAGGTGTAGGTCTCAAAATGAGGCGGATGAAGCAGTGTCTATTGACTCTTTAATCTCTAGTTCTTGAGGATATATTAATTGAACCCAATCAGAAAAGTTTGGGTTATTAATAGAAAGAACATCATCAATATATATGAATGTGAAATTAAATGATCTGGCTTCTTTGATCTTCTTGTTTTTGATAAGTGTCTGAAGGAACTCCGTTTCATATGAAATTAAGAAGAGGTCGACAAGGAGAGGCACATAGTTCGTTCCCATAGGAATGCCGACAATTTGTTGAAAAAGTCTACCTCCAAATTCAACAAATATGTTGCCAATAAGAAACTCTAGCATACTGATCACTTGTTCCTCTGTGTAGCTTTTCGTTCACTATTAACAGACCATGCAGTATGGTATCCCAAAGCAATAAATTTATAGCGTATGCTACCATTTTTATATTGAAAAGCATTTCTTTTAAACGATTTTTCAATTTCACATGGGGAATGGTGGTATACAGGTTTGAAAAATCAAAAGTTTTGATAGAATTAATTTCAAAGAAAGATCGAGATATAAAACTATCCAGAAGTTCTTTAGAGTTTTTTAGAATCCACATATGGTTAATACCACTACGTGAGTTTCACTGCGGATAGAATTTTTGTCAATCTAATGGACAATTCCATAAGTGGCATATAATGTGCTTAGTAATTTTTTTAATTGTAAATGGAATAACACTATATTGTCTCTGATCCGTGTGGTGTTTTTGAACAAGTAAAATGGCAAATACATCTAGCTTTTGAGAGCACAAGATCTGAAAAAAAATATCACAAAACAGCATCATCATTTTCTCATTATAAATAAAAAAAACATGGGATAGACTACCAAAGATATACGACCATTTTTATAATCCTAAAGACTATTAAAGATGTATACACCATCTTTCTCATGGTTCTTCAAATAAGAAAAATAGTATAAGACATGAACAATAGAGTATTTATTAAAGTGCGCACAACTTGGAACAAACACATGATCATGTGGCGGGGTTAAACATTTTGAAATCCCAGCCTCTCCTTCTTAATGTCGATCAGTGGACCAAAAAAAAACGATATTAAAGATCATATAATAAAAATCCGTATAGAAAAAAGTACTCATCTCTATAAGGAAATACTCGATAACAGAAACACTAATACAAACAAAACAATCCCGTATTCAAGAATTTCAATACCTGTTGAAATCATGCTGATCCTGCGCCAACCCTATCACATAAATGGGTTAATTATCTGTTCCTTAGTTTATATAACGTGTTTACGGGATTTCAAAATTTAATTTCGAGCACGATTAACGAAAAATAAATTTTCAAATCGCACGTTAGCAACATGCCATTATTTTCGGTATTGCGTAATCTTGTATCGTTTTTTACTGTTAATTTCTAAATATCTCTAATATAAAGTTGGAAAAGATATAATTCTGTATTTTCTCATGGGAACCTTGCGTCCACTAAGTTACACGTACAGCATTGTCGATATGTCACAAACACAATTTCAACATATGTGCAGGCTGTTTCCATTACATTAACCAAATCGTATTGCTTGAAAGTCAAGATCCATGCTTTATGGTTTAAAAGTATAAAAAGTAAAATAACAAAAATACTTAAGTCCAAGGAAAATTCAAAACGAACAGTGGAAAATGGTGGATTAAACCTGGTTTTACAACTAGCTAAACCTCTCACTTGTATAAAAAGAAAGAAGATACCAAGTGTAAAATAACAAAACTCACATCGAAGAAAGGACCGCCATGACCTAAAAAGAAAGAAAAACAAACAAACAAACAACAGTTAACCATCTGATTGCTTTGTGGAAAATCGGGATAAAATTTATATTCGGAGCATATTTGTTATGCAAGAATCACTTATTAATCGACATACTTCGATATTGTTTTAGCAAATTAAAGTCACCAAAGATGCCAGGCTTATGGTGTATGGTTGCTCATAATTGCTTACATTCACTACTTTTGAACTTTGGTGGATAGTTGTCTCATTGGCAATCATACCACATCTCCTTATCTTAATATTATGATTTTGAATACCAGACGTACGTTTCGTCTACTTAAGACTCATCAGTGGCGTACATTCGAGTTTATAACAGTTTGGAGACCAAAATCAATAATGATTATGAAGAGTATTGAAAATATAAAGTTTTAAAAAGGGCCAAATCTTGCGTAGGTCATTTATGCCTGAAGTTAGACAAACCTGTTACGACAGATTTTAAAGTTTAAAAACATTTAATTTACCAAAAATTACCGTACAAATGATATTTCACGCAAGCACAGAACTGCTAATTACTAGGCTATTGGTATCCTCGAGGACAAAACTTCACGCAATATTGTTATGGCATTCAAGTCAAATGAGTTAGAAGACCAAATCAAAAACAAAGTTGAAAAATATTGCAACCAGAATTTTGAAATCTTGCAAAGGCCTTTTTTGCCTGAATCGGACATATTAACGTTTTACAGTACATTAACAAACAATGAACATACCAATTATATTTCATTGCAGCCCATCGGCTGGCTGGTGGCAGTCTCACGTACGATATAAAAGTTATCACTTATTCTCTTACGTATCTTAAAAGTCGATATCAATTATAGTTGAGGGAGTGTTTAAACTTAATGTGAATGAGAATATCATAACTATTATTAAGAAAAGTTTAATCATTAGTTGTCAAGTTGAAAATATCTAACAGCTCTAAATCCTCCTCAACGCGTTTACAAATTTAAAACATTTCAACACAGATGATCATATATTTTACAACGATACCAATATGGATTGATTAAAACATGAAGAGGTAGCCAACATTGATTGAATTACCCTCCAGTGTTTCAATATGAAGAGGTAGCCAACATTGATTAAATTCCCTTCCAGTATTTTAACACGAAGAGGTAGCCAACATTGATTGAATTACCCTCCAGTATTTTAACATGAAGAGGTAACCAACATTGATTAAATTTCCTTTCTGTATGTTAACATGAAGAGGTAGCGAACATTGATTGAATTCCTTTATTTTGGACAAGTATATGGACGTGCGAAAAACATTTGTTCATGTTCAGTAAATATTCAACACTCTCACTTTTATCTCTTTAAGTAGCAGGACAAAAGATAGATAAACTCACAATAAAACATCAAACCAGGATAAGACGGTTATTCAATTATGTTAGTTTACCTAAAACCACGATGCAAATAAGTTAATATACAAAGTAAAATAACAAAAATACTGAACTCCAAGGAAATTTCAAAACGAAAAGTCCCTTATCAAATGGCAAAATCAAAAGCTCAAACACATTAAACTAATGGAAAGCAACTGTTATATTCCTGACTAGTACAGGCATTTCCTTATGTAGAAAACAGTGGGTTAAACCTGGTTTTATAGCAGGCTAAACCCCTCACTTATATGACAATCGCATAAAATTCAATTATATTGACAACAATGTGTGAACATAACAAACATACAAATAACTTTATAAAAAATCTGCTATCTAAGTACGCATTCTGCTTATAACGAAATCATGTCTTTTAAGCACAAATTTAAGTTCATATATGTGTGTGTCCACAATGTCATACGACCCATGAGCAAAGCAATTGTTATATTTATAACCTTAACATAATATATTTGAGATATATACTATAAATTACCTTGTCTTTAAATCGTTCAATTTAAATATGTGCATGGTTAAATAAATAACGTAACATATTTCGACATCTTGGATCATTATAACGTATCCTTAAATAGATACAATGATAGGTAAGCTCATTTCATTCTTGACTAACATGATGAATATTGATTTAAACCGACAATGAAAACCTTGTTGTATATATCTATTTTAATTTGAAAATACAAAATGACATTTTAACGTCGACGTTAGGTTTTATCAACTTAACAAATTTTGCATATGCGGTTAGTCTTCATCACGGGGGGTCTCAACATGGGATTTTGGGTACAGTTGTGCAGCTGTGATTTAACCCCCCCCCCCCCCCCCCCCATTCATATATTGCATAATTGTGAAATCCCTACCTATACATATATTTCACAGCGAAATCATAACCCATTCATATATTTATCAGCTCAAATAGTACCTAAAAAAATTGGGAAATTCAGTGAAGATCGTCGAACAATAAACTGAAAAATTATGACCCATTGATATATCACAATTGGTCAATTACTACCTATTGATATATTTCCTCTGTAAAATTGCACCCCATTGATATATTTGACGTATCAAGAAAGGGACCCATTCCAGCGGCACATATGTATAATACCTTCATATAGGAAGAGACCCCCCCCCCCCCCCCCCCCCCCCCGTGGTCTTCATATTCACCGACTACAGAACCAGAATATAAACCCATAAAACAAATTCATGATGAAAATTAAATTTACATCAGTAAATAGCGACAACATATAGTCCAGCTTTCGTATTTTCTGTACAAGGTTTATTCTATAACCATGCAAAACACAGAATCATCTATGAATTATATTTGTTTACTTTGTTAAACAGATATAAGCCCATTTATACCTCATAATAAAATTGTTTCGATAAGTCTTATAAGCAATTAGAGTAAAACATAAAAAAAGGTTTACGTAAAAGACAATATTTTTTGTTAGAGAACACACAAAATAAAAGTATTCGTATATGAAAAAAGAAAGATACCAGGCTTATAATTTTGAACGCAAGGACGCGCCTTTCGTCTACAAAAGACTTATCAGTGACACTCGAATCAAAACAGTTGAAAGGCTAAATAAAGTACGAAGTTGAAGAGCATTGAGGGCCAAGAATTCCGAAAGGTTTTGCCAAAAACAGCATAGGTAATCTACTCTTGGGGTAAAAAATTCTTATTATTTCAAACAGTTCAAAGTTTCTTAAGCAGTTAAATTATAAATATCACAATAACAATGACATTTCATGTCAACACATAAATGCTTCTCCTGGGCTGGTGATACTCTCGGGGACAAAACCTTCACCAGCAGTGACATCGACCCAGTGGTTGTAAAAAAACTCATCAAAGATACCAGGCTTATAATTTCGAATGCCAGATGCGCGTTTCACCGATTTTGATATCGTTTTGATTTTTAACTGACTTATCTGTGTTTATGATGTGTTTAGTTATAAAAGAAATAGAAAAAAATTGTGTGTAAATTAATATTTTATGTATTGGAAGAAAAAAATAAGGGCAGTGGAATAAAAAAGTAATTTCCCTCGGCTAAGGGAGATATAAAGATCTGTTCACACCTTTCTTCGATAAACAAATCTCCATATGTCTCTCAGGCAAGGGAAATACATGTATATTAGTTTACTTCTTCATCTTGATCATCAACCCTTCATCCAGACAGTTTTATTTTCCTTCAAATTTTGTCGATCGCCAAAAATACTTGAGAATGAAAATCACACTTTACAAATGTCTTGCATCAAAAGCGTTTATCTGGATTACCTTCACTAGGAACGCTCAAACGTATTAATTGAAAACCTGAGATTTATGAATACGTAGAATCTTTATGAGCTATATGACCAAAAGGGACCTCAATATAAGTGTCAATACTAGTATTTTAATGGTACATGCTGTTTGGGGCATTGTTTGTTGGAAGTTACATATTTGTTTATGAGATATGACAATCGTTGCAGCTGAACTCTCTAAAAGTAACACGTAGTGGTTATTAACCCTTTTGAGACACGAAACATTGCAAGCATCAATAATATTACCGATGTTTTCTAATATATAAAAAAAAATGAAAACAATACTATATAAATTTCCGAAGTGCTTTTCTGGATTTACCCTGATCAAGAACCATCAAAGCCGAATATTTGAAAGCCAAGAATGTATAAGAACCAAAAAGATGTGTCCTATCATCTATCTTTATATTCAGCTGTCAATATGAAATGATGGGTCGAATTTCACTACCGGTTTTTATCGACAGCGGTATTCAGATAATTAAATTTATAGTGTCTTCCTAACTAAAAATGAAGATACGTACAAGTAGGTATATAAACAACTAATATGAAACGTTGCCAAAACCCAAAATCTTATTTGTTGAAGTAAATGGCACGGTTGAATTAAATGGAGCTAAGTTTTAGTCGATTAGGAAGATTTTTAGATACGAAATAAGATAGGATTAACTAAGACACACGAAACAGGTTAACATACATGTAACGATTTAATTTAGAAATATGATTCTTTGAAGTGTTAATGGCAGATGAAATATTCTGGAAGATCTATATTGTAATCTTAATTTTCTTATAGTTGGACACAGAATCCTAGTTATTTGACCAAAAAAATACTGGAATTATGGCAGCAACAAGCAACGGAAAATCTAAATTTGGTAGGTTTATTGACTTCAATACGCTATAGACAATAGATACATTCAATCTGAGGCTCTCTTAAGAGATTTATAACTAATTACAACGGCCAACGAGGGTCCGGACTTGTGACAATTGGCATGGTTTAATTAGTACTTGAGGACTCAAACATTAATATTTTTAATTTGCGTTTATTAGTTGAACGTTTTTGTCCCAAAAAAATGCAATAAGATTTAAAAGTGGAATTTAATGTTACAATCAGGAGATATTATTGCAGAAATGAGAGTTGAAAAACATTCCTTATTTTTTAACGTATAAGTTGTCTTTTATTTGCCAGGAAAAATGAACTTCGTGATGTTCGTTAAGTAACTTGTTCTAAAAAAATTCCAATGTGTAATGTTATGATTTTTTTACCGATGCTTCATGCGCGTACTAGTATTGTCAATTAAAACTTTTATGTCTATGCTTTTTGTTACCAGTGCAAGTGTTTATGATCAGTTGGCAAGAAAGTAATTCTTACTAGAAATAGGGTACAGCCTGCCCAGAAAATGAATATGAATAAACAGTCATTGGAGAGTATAGTAAAACAGTTTTTTTAATCATAAATTATCGCTTCATCAACGGCGAATGTAATGACACAAGTACGTTATTATATGGTTGACCTGGATTATATGCACAAAATTACTATATGTTTGTTCAAGATAATGATTTACACGATTATGAAAATTCAGTCAGATGTCTATTTTAAAGCTTCACGAACTATTTTCGAGATTCATAAGTTTGTGTCGATGATGTACTTTGAACTGATCTACAGTAAAAGCAAACATTCTTTGACATATGAAGTTTCACATGGTAGTGTTTTGTTAAGCATAAATGGAGATGTGGTTCGTACATCAATGGAACATTTTTCATATCTCCCCACAATAGAGAGTTGTCTACAAAATGTGTAGAAAAAATGTGAATAAATTCTTTTTAAACGTGGCGGAAGATACTAAGGGGACATTCAAAATTTATAAGTCGAAGGGAAACTGCCATCGCCATGGCAAAAACAAACGAAAGACGACGAAAAAACAAACAAAAAAATCCACAAAACACATCATAAAAAACTAAAGATTGAGGAACATGAAACCACCCAAAAATTGGTGTGATCTCAGGTGATCGATCTCAGGTGATCTGAAAAGGGTACGCATATCCTGCTCCACTTATGGTAGCCGTCATGTTGATCATGGCTCGTGCAAATTATGTGATAAATCTCATTCGTCTGAGGCAATCAAAGATCTCCCTCAAATACCTAATGCCGTAAAGAACAAAACATGAAGAAAAAACGAATGCATCTATGATAAGGTTAATAACTTCAGACCGACGCACGAACTCGTGTCGGGGGTTAAGCTAATTGCTATCTTTTGTTTCTAAATCAATTACATTTGTACCTTTAATTCGGGAATTAAGGTGCTGTTGCAAAGTCTTCGCCTTTTTAAGTTCAGTTTACTTTCAACTTCTCAATACTTATAACTTGCCTTATGGTTCTACCATTGTAATTAGTCTACATTTGAAGACATTCTTGTGAAATCAATGTTATAATCAATAATAAGCTTATACTACCGTGTTGTGTTTCTGTCTAGTCTTGAATATTTTACAACTGTAAGATACTTATATTTTTATACAATATCAAGTTATAAAACTTGTGTTCAATATTTTTTCTAGAATAAGTAGAATAGTATTAAACAATTTTCAATTAGTTAATCTATTATGTTTAATCTTAGATTCAGTACAACAAGAGATGCTAGGTCTAATTGGTACATCTAAACAGGTAGGTTATGATAAAGATAATGGATGACTGTTTAACGTCCAGCTGTAAATAATTATACTATAGCATTTGAATTTGGCCTGAAATACTATCGGATAAATGCACTGAAAAAATGAAAACAACACGTTATAAATTTCATTAATACCGACACAGTGCTAATAATATAAACGTATTTTACTGATCTAAGTTGTCAACCTTTTGTTATAGCACCTCTGCTAATGATACTTTCAAATTAAAATAAATTAGAAGTGACTAGCATATATATTAAGTTAACAAATTCATTAAAAATTTCATCGATGAAGGAACGTTCGACATTTGATTTCAATAATCAAGTGCCATTAATTACAAAAACGGGTTAGAAAAAGAACATTCGCTTCTTCTTTGAACAAACAGAACAAAGAACTCAAACTTTGTAATGCAATTAACTATGTTTTTATACGTAAAGACTGAAATTGTATTTCAGGAAATTAAAAGAAAATGCATACCAACTGCAAATAGGTATATAAAATAAAGATAAGAAAACAGTTGTTTGTAGTACAGTTCTATATAAGATGTGTACATATTTGTTTTTGAAATAATCATTTATTGAAAGAATATGCTGATATATGTTAATTGTATAAACCATTCCGTAAAGTTAAGATACTCGGGACTGTTTTGTGAAATATTATCTGCCCTTCTTTTTCAGTTAAGTCCTAATGAATCCTTGATATCAGCAAATGTTTAGCACAGTTTGGTTTTCAATGCTCACCGACTTTATTGATTGATTCCAGCGCCATTAATGAGTCTCATCTAGAAGAAAAACTGTTTTGGCGTGCTTCATTATAAGCCTGGTGTCTTTGTCAATGTTTAAACCCACTTGTTCAATGCCACTGCCTAACTAAAAGGGTGTCACCACCGCAGATTTCTGCGCTATTAAGCTGACAAGGAAATGTCATTGACGCGATCATTTCCTGTTACTTAACTGTTCATCAACAGAAACACCTAGGTTTGAATATTCCGAGGCTTCCAAATTTGGCAAAACTTTATGGAATGTTTAGTTTCATTTGTTATTGATTTGGCCTTCCGCCGTTTTAAATCGAGTGCTAGTGATGAGTCTTATGTACACGAAAATTATACCTTTATTACAACGCCACTAGCCTTTTTAAGTTTCAACGATCTAAATCAAACATTTCAAATTATAGAAAGTATCTGTTATAGTAAATCTCTTATTCGTACCAAATTATAAACCTGGTATCTTTGATAATTATTTTTTTCTTCCATACTACCTTACTACCTTACTACCATACTACCATACGTCAACGATCAGTTACTGTAATTGATCAATATATGATATAATATACTAATTGTACGATGTAGCAAATTCAACGTGCTGGTCTGAAGTGAGTAGCCGACTATTTATTTAACACATTTTAAGGTTGATAATAATAATATCCTAACTCAGTAACAGTTTTAACAGTTTTTTATGTTTATTTTCCAGAAATAGCTTCCAACATATCCACAAAAATGATGGTAGAGATATTGAGTAAGTGACCATTTTAAAAACGCTTTTTATGTTTATTCATGCGTTAGTTTATGCCGATTTCTGACAAAACGTTTTCAAAAATAAAAAGATGAAGCATCATGTGATATTCTTTTATTTCACCTTCAAATAAGTTGATGATATAATGTCACCCGATAACCCTACATTACATCGAGTTTGCGTATCTTTTATTTTAGATTCCATCGAACTAGACATAAGGATACTACTGAAACCAAAGAGTCTCTTTCATATATGAATGTTTTCTTGAAGTGGACACAACGGAACGACATCTAACTAGACCAATGTCAAAGATGATGTTTTTCCATTATTTGCTTGCTTAAAATACCTTCTGGTCCATCTTTTGACGTGTACATATCTCAATTTAAAAATTACGAGCATCTTTAATGACCAAAGTATACGCCCAAAAACGAAATTTCAACACCAGTGCTATGAAATCGACATCACCTAAGTTGAAAGTCGCCACAGATACTAATTGGATGACTGATATAATATGTGTGAGATCATGTTCACGAGATTTTTTTCGAGGCCCTAAACTTGAAGATATCAGCAAAGTTGTCTGCTCGTAAGGATTCATATCTTTATTTTTCATAATTTTACTACTGTGAAATTTCAATTCAAAGTGATAATGAAAGGGGATTTTTTCTTTTAAAGATGAAGAAATAATTTCAAAATTCGAATATCTCAACAAGCTTTACAATATGTAAATTGCCCGGGATTTAGACAAAAAATTAATTTATTTGACGAAACTATTTTTAAAAAACTTACCAGTAACATTTAATGGTTTAAAAGCGATAGAATCGCAGAGTTTTTCCTTAACCTTAAGCAAGCGCATGGAAATCAGACGGTGTTGATATACTTTTCTAAGGAAGTTTTTCGAAACAGAATTACGTGGTACAATCAACATTATTGATATATCTTACTAGATTTAGTTGAAACTAGGCTAACACTACTTTTGGTATTAACCACATGGTAAGGGCTGAAATTATGTAGTCAGTGTAAACTCTAAGGTCAAATATCTTCTACAGCTGCAGTGCATCATAAACAGTGGCGTTCCGATGTCTTGCGCATATACGAGTTTCCTTTTGTTCTGATAGTTTTTCCCATCAAGTCGGTGTAAGTTTTTTTTAATTATCGCATACCAACTCCAAATGTTTTTTTGTTTTTGTTTTGACATATATATTTGACCATATGACCTCAATATAAGATGTCATTTGTAGCTTGATTTTAAACTTGAAGAAAGAATTTTGCAATTTGTTTCCATGGCAATCTTATAACAGAAATATACTAGAAAAAAAGCAATGTGATATAAACTGTAAACCAAAACAAAGACACTGTATAATTAACATCCAATGTATGTAAATTATAGAAAAGACACTAAACAGTTTAACAGTGACGATTTTGAAAGTATGCCGCTGACGCAACTAGAAGATATACATGTAACAGTGAGGTAAGTTGTATACAATTGATTCAGCACAATATTTACCTGGTTCATGCCTTAACGTATACCTGAGAATTGATAATGAACTAACTTTTGCTATAAAAAAAGGACGGCTTTAATTTTCGTTGTGAACTTTTCAATTTTTAAAAAGCAAAATTCCAACAGATGTTGGATATGAATTAAATATATTTTTTTCTGCTATTAACTCGTCATTCGTTATCTTTTTATAAGTTACTAAACGTGATATATAGTTTTACTGCTATATATATACCTTTGCTTATGCCTAAAACTTGACTGCGAGGATAGTTTGTTGCTAAAGAGAAGACTTCTATTGTCAGTTGTATATTTGCTATTTCTATGTAATAGCATTTCAGAAATACATATATATGTTTCTCTTTATACGATACTTAAAAGCAGTGGCTGATCCAATATTTCAAAAATGGGACGGGGAGGGGCACAGAAAAATAAGAGAATCAGCAGTAAAAATTTGCCAAATGTAAAACAACCACACGATTTTGAGCTCTCTGGTCTTGTGGATTTCTTTTTGAAATTCTGGTGTTTCTACATTAATTATTTTGATAGAGGATTATTGGTTAAAAGAAAGCTACTAACAAAAGTTTCGTACAGGTAAAATCGCGGTCTTTCTGCGACAGTTCTGTGTGCCGCTTTTGACTTGTTTGACCGTTACGAAACATTTCTGTCACAGCTGTTTCTTGTCTAAATAATTCAGTCTCCATTGTTTAATACAACTTAAAACCAATTTTACTCTTATTGTAACCGGGAAGTATTTCATTAGTGGAACTTGAACTTCTTTCCCTTCTTACGAATTCCCTGAGTTATTCCATCAGCATTTCATCGGTTTAGATTCATACATTTTAATATCTTGAACAGATGTTTATGTTTGAATTTCTTCTCTTAATATTAGTTTTTATTTCTCCTTTTAAAACTGTTTAAAAATTAGGTGCTTCTTCCTTTTTTGTTAATGAAGATGAGAATGCCAAAGGTCATCAAAAGATTAAATATTATGAGTCGAAATAAAAGATTGTAGTATGAAAATAAACATATAAATTAAATTCAAGATTTTTGTCATGTTTAGTTCAATTTTGAAACAACGTTTTTCCAGTTCTATGATATCAAGAGTTAATCAGGATAATTATTCATTTATATTTTTGTCTGTTTCTTCATATAATCGATGGCTGTTCTATCTAATTACGCCGAATTTTTGTTACAACCCTGAACAGAGATTTGAAATATATCCTTACTGAAATTTTGGTTGCTTATATAAACCAAAGACTATCAATATTGAGGTCATAAAATACATTTTTATCCATCAAAATAATAGTGTTAATTTGCAAAAACCTGTATGGGGTTCATTGAACTGTATAAAGATTGTAAAAACCAATAAACTATTTTTTTCTCTTATTACCATTTGTGAATATACAGCCTTAGGAACATATATCTTAAAGTGAAAGAGATGAGAAAGATACCAAACGGACAATCAAACTCTTAAGTCGAAAATAAACTGACAACATCAAGGGAAAAACGGAAAAAAAAGAAACAAGAGTATACAAAACATAATATACAAAAAACAAAGACTGAACAACACGAACACCACCAAAAACCGGAGTGAACTATCACAATATTTGACAAATGGGAAAAAATAAAGGCATTCATGTGATTTCTGATTGATTGATTGATTGATTGATTTTGATTGACTTTGCTTTATTGTTTGTTAGTGTTTAACGCCACTTTCAGCACTATTGTCTATATTGTGGCTGCCAGCTTTTACTGGTGGAGGAAACCAGAGTGCCTGCAGAAAACCACCGACTCTCGTCAGGAAAACTGGCAATCCTAGTCAATTAAGATTGGAGTTCGAAATCACAATCTGAGTGTTTAAGCTTGCTAGTGATACAGTAGATAAAAAACTTAGACCACTCTGTTATCGAGGCTCTCTGTCATTCTCTGTACTGTAAAGATATTCAAGTGTAAACAAAAAGACACAAGAACGCTTACAATTTATAGTTTGATATAGATATCAAATGAATGACATGTTAACCCCTACTGAGTATTATTTCAGTGCAGAGGTAGGAAATTGTAAATCTTTCAAGTTACACTCGAAAATATATTTGGGTAAAGGAAATGGTATGTTCGTAGGATCTAGGCAAACTTTTCAAGAAGATAAATAAACAAAATTGTTTTAATGTTTACTTGAATAAAGGCTATCACTAAAGTCAGAAAGTCAAAACCAATACACACATAATGATATGGTATCTGAAGTCAAACATATTACTGAACAAAATAAGGAATTAATTATTGTTTTAATCAATGCTTAAAAAAAGAATTTATACATCATAGATAACGAATCAAACGAACCAATGTGTATGTCTTGCGCTGCTGGTACATGCACTGACATGACAAAGAATACCGTGTGTGCTACCTGTCTAGAAACCATTTCCGAAACAATGAGGCGGTGACAGACAGACACCCGTTTATACAGCGTTATGGCGACGAATGAAGAAGAATACATTGCAGTGAAAATTTGCAATAGCTTAGATATTTGTTCTACGGAATCAGTATTGAGTAATCATGTTGAAAAATGAAAGACCACATACTTTTGATAAATTAAACTTTTCTTTTTTTTTAAGAACTTCATCAGACGAAACATGTGTCAAAGAACTGTCAGTAGAGAAAGAAAATAGGATAGATGTAACAAGAGTTAAAGAACAGTCATTAGATCAAGCAAATGGGAACAGGTATTGTTTTTCATTTTTCAGAAAGACATTTAACAATAACGTTACATACAGCAGCATTATACCTTAACTTCACGTTCCGATATAAAGACGATGTCCTCTTAGTAGACAATTCAAAGGTTGGTGACTGTTTTGAACGCGAGTTGGTTAACCGTTATGGAATATCTGTGTCGCAGATGACAACGAAGTATTCCAAATGTCGTAACAACAATCCCGTGCTCCTCTCTTCGATTGTGACATCACCAATTGTGACTCATCACCGAAATTGTACATACCATGAGTAACATGACGGGTGCCACTAATAAAGAAGAATCAGCAAACTCTTTCGGATCACCTGGGATCGTTTAAGTTTTTGCTGGGGTTTGATTTGCCTAGTCTTCAGTTTTCTATGAAGTGTTTTTTGTCGTCTTTCTTTGTTTTCCGTGGCGTTATCAGTATCTATCGACTTATGAATGTCCCCTTGTATTAAGTGTCTAATTACGGCCAAATAAAAAAAAAAAACAAAAAAAAAATATCACCTGTTGAAGAATATTCAGGGCTGTATCATAATAATTCGTGAGTTGAATAACCTAAAAAAAACTTAAAAAATCAGGCAATATCGTATGCATTTACAAAACTAATGGAACGAATGAAAATCAACTGTCATATTCCAAACTTAATACAGACATTTCCCGAAAGAATCCAATCATTCCACGGTAAAAATACCCCCCCCCCCCCCAACCCCCACCCCCCCCAAAAAAAACAAACAACAACCACCCAACACAAAAGAAAAGAAGATTTATTTATAATTGCTTTACATCACAAAACGGCTACATCGCAACGAATGATCAGAAATAAACGACAGTGAAAGTTTGAAATTGTTGCTATTTGTTCTTTAGAATCAGTGTTGTATAATCATTTGAAAAAGAAGACCATGTCCGTTTGATAACCTATAATATTGTAATCCCGGTTTTTTTAAAGTAGTACATCAGACGAAACAAAAGTCAAGGAATGTTCACCAGAGCAGGAAAATTGGATACACTTCACAAGGGTTAATGAACCGTCGTTAGATCAAGCGAATGTAAACAGGTATTATTTTTCTTCAGAGTAACCAATCACGTTACTTATAAGCAATTATTGATACAATGTTTAATGTGACGATTTAATCCTTTGTACGACTTTGCCCCCAGCAGAGCTATAGAAAAACAGTACATTAACGGGTGTTACACGGACACTTTTTAGATGATACACGGACACTTTTTAGTTGTTACACGGACACTTTTTATGAATAGAATCACTCGTGCATGATCAGTGAGTTCATGGGCACTTTAAATTTCAATTAGATTTTAACTTTTTGTTTCACCGACATATTTCCTGTCTTTTTAATTAAAAATATTTACGTTAGCATCAATAACTATATTTTTAACTATAACATTCCAGTAACTATCCATATTAGTACACTAAGGGGTTGACCATTTAACTTCAAAAGGCCGCGGTTACGGTTTTTTCCTAATAAAAAAAACATTTTGATCCCCAATTTTATGAGAAAAAATATATTATGGTCAAGCAGATGACACTGAAAATAATGTTCTGACTCCTGATTTTCCGAATACCGTATATAATAGTGCTGATTTCGAACAAAAAATATTTGGGCTGTAGCGTTGAAAAACTAAATAATTTTCTTACGCAGAAAAGAACACACCCTCTTTTGAAGCTAAATGGTCGGTCCGTAAATGTATTTTTTTTCAATATATGGATATGAATAGTATTCTGGACAATGCTGAAAGAAATGCTGGTACCAACGTTTATATTTCAATAAAAAGACAGGAAATATATATATATAAAAATCAAATCTAATCAAAAGATAAAATCCCTATCAACTCACCAATGCATGATTGATCCTATAAATAAAAAGTGTCGGTATAATACATGCTCAAATATGCAGCAAATCGTGAAGAAAATCATTCAACTTATGTCATCAATTTTGGACGGTAAGCTCTGATTGGATCATATAGTGACGCGTGTTTAATCCTGATCAACACTATCAGAGACATATAAAAACCTATAAGCATGAACATTTTTTTTGAATTCAAAACATATGCCTATATATATATATATATAATAACAAGACATGGACATGGCACATCCTGCATTTTTTCAACAAAAAAAGGATGAGGCCTGTTTATTTTAAATTTATTTTAACCCTCCTTCCCCCCCCCCCCTTCCCCCCCCCCCCCCCCCCCCCAATAAAATCAAATGGTAGCTTGCTTACCTCTGAAATCTTTTTTATACATTACTTACTTGCGATGTTGCATTTCAAAAAGTCTCAAATGTGTATAACATTCACCTTTAACTTGAAATGGTTCTTTTCATAAAGTTATTAGATTCTTGAATTTTTTTAGATAAAAATATCGGCTGAAGGGAAGGGAGAAAAAAATTGGGTTTAAACTGTAACTTACATTAACTGGTATATGGCCATTTAAGTTTCTAATATCTTTAGTTTTGCTACCTCTTCTAAATGCAAAATGTACTTCTTCCTTCTTGAAACGTCGTACAAGTCAGATACAAAACAAAGGTAACAAAAAACAGGCCGGAAACAACCTGCCGTATAGTTTGTCTGCACTTGTAGTCAGGTCAAGGTCCTCGGCTATCGCCTCGGACCTTGACCTGACTACTCGTGCAGAAAAACTATCCGGCAACGGTTGTTAACGGCCTGTTTCTTTGTTACCTTTGTATTGTATCTAATACTTGTCGGATTCCGGCCAAGTATGAAAACAAAGGCAATTAACAATATTCCTTGCAAATCAAAGTCACAAATGTCAAATTTGTAGCGTTTAAAGTCATCTTCATTAGGAATATTTAGGACTGAATTATGACAGTCAGAAAATTAAAAAAAAAACATTAACACTCTTAAAAGAAAAAAAAATGATATCGTATACATTTAGTATCAATAACGGTACCAATTTTACTGCAGTATCAGATGAATTTTACTGCAGCACCAGATGTGCATTTCGACAAATAATATATCTCAGTAATGCCGGAGGCCACATGCAATAGGATCTTTTAGAAATTCAACTTCGACTTTAGTGTAAACATATTTTATTAATTATTCAAAAATACATGAAATCAGTAATGAATTTTAATATTTATTAAACAGCACAGCGTATTGTTTAAATTCGACAGAGCGGGTTGTTAAAACAAACATCTCTGTGTCGACAACAGTGATAGATGAAACATTTGGTGGCCCACATGCAATGGCAATACAGTATGTATACATATTTATAAGATTGTGCTATAATTTAGAAAAAGTGTATAATCATATCTAATTCTATACCAACGCTTTGCAGATGAACATTTTGGACCTTCATGCTAAGAACATAAACAATAATTTCATTTTTAAAAATAAAATTCTACCTTACATGTTTGAAATAGGAATATGTTTTTATTTCACCATCACTTTCCATTGAGTATGTTTTATTTTCGGCAAACCATTGTATTTTATATTATAGACCAATCAATGCTGAATTGGAAGAACGGATTAGAGTGTTAGAAAAAGACAACAAATTGTTAAAGGAAAGGTAAATGAAACTTATTTTAATGACGAGTGATTCATTGAAATTTGGAGAAGGTATGATAAGGTCACTTATTTGGCCCCTTGTAATCTTAAATCATATAGTGATATAGGCTTCAGCTGCACCCACCCACATCAGTTGTCTCATGGTAGTGTACTTGAATTGAGAGCGTGATGTTGCATTTTTTATACAAGAAAGACTTGAATATTGGAATGTTGTCCTGCTTTGCTAGACATCTGGTATTTAAAAGTAAAAAGACTTGCAGTCAGTCATTTTGTCTAGGTAGGATGACATGTCTTCTTGCAGAATGTTACATCGTGAATTAGCATGTTAAATGTCAGGCTCAACGTTTTGGTCTAGTGCATAGCGGGGTTAATATTCGAATCACATTCACATCTTGTCTTGATATGCATGTGAAATATGCCATAGGATGTTTAACACCAATCCACAATCATCATCTTTTGATGTTCCTTAAAAATCATTAATTTCTGAACTTCGGCGTATAAGTATTTACTTACACCTTGAGTAATTCGGTTTTATCACATATAAATCTTTCGATTTCACGCCTTTCTTTCGTCGAGAAAAATTCACTGATCAGAATTGACACGTATATTTTTCATTCATAATGTGTTATTTCATAGAAGTACATGTATCTCTTTCTTGTACTTTTTTTTATTTGTAGATTTCCTACAATTTATTCTGTGATTTGTAGACCATGCTTTACAGATTTTGCATTATTTATTATTCAACTGATCAGTGCGATTTCCCATCCCACATTGTTTTTTGTTTTATTTACACATTATTAAGACAATCTTTATGATCGTATAGGCATAGCGAAGTAGAATATAAATGTTATTATTTTTGAATTATGTCGTAATTGCTTCAGCGCTTCCGACTTCTTGCGTTGACTACAATATTTTGAGACCTTTGCATTAGTAGAATTGATTCAACGCTACCAAAACACATATTAAAGAATTCAACTGTTATTTTTGCAATTTCACAGTTCTTAAAAGTGTTTTTATCACAAACTATAATAGAAGAAGACCAATCAACATAAAAAAATAGTTTACATTGGAAAATGAAACGATAATTGGGAAGCATGGGTGTTTGCTTTTGAGATACCTGAACAAAGTACTTTCAATATTGGAGTCAATTGATGCTAATTACATAAACAATATTCAAGGGAATTAGTGTAAACGTGAAGTTTAGTGACATTTTGTCATTATTTTTTTTTTACATATTGAAGGATGGACGATTCTAATAGAAATGAAAAGGTCCTGCAATTTAAAACAGACCAGATCCAGTTAGCACATGCTGAACATGACACGAATATGTAAGTAGTCAGAAAAGGTATTTACAAAATTTAATAAACTTTATTAAATGAAAACATTTCATGTCCTTTTCTATGTTACATTGATTTAATTCGATTGAATTCTCAAACTGAAGTAGTTTTACATTCAGATAGATAATTTTAACAAAGCTGGGTCAACTCGATAATATATATACTCGCAATATCATTGAGTAAATAATGTATTATATATTGAGGTACATTCAATTTTACTTACCATTTTTGTGGGAAATAGAATCAGGTAATGTGAGATTGACTATTATAGTCAAGACTCGGTACAGACTAATGAAACCAAGTGTTATGGCAAGCGGATACCTTCAATATGGTACACAGCTATTTTAAATCCAAAAAAAATATGCGCATTGAAGTGAAGAAAACTAAATTACGCATTTACAGTAAGTAAAGGGCTTGGAATTTTAATTGTTCAACCTTCCAAAAGTCACATAAAACATTCCTTTGAAATTTTACATTGTGTTGTTTGATAAAATTTAGATGTTTGCATATTGCAACATTATCAAAGATTAACTTTAGATCTCGGTAGCGCATAATTTTATTATTTCTTTACCATAATTAATTTCAGTAAAGCTTTAGAGCAAAAATTTGAGTTCTTACAGTTGAAAGTACAGATGCTTGAAAATGAAAACCAAAAACTTAGACAAAGGTATGTATAGGTAGTCTCACAGTATCATGTAATTTTGTATCACAATCGTTATATCCATCATCAACTGCACTAGCTGCATTTAAGGAATAAAACCACTAATTCATAGCCCCATTGCTTTTCTAGGAACTAGTTTGTTTAAAATATGTACTACATTCTTGTTTCTTCTTTTTGACCGAGCCCGAATTAGTGGTTCTATACCTTAACAGTAGTATAGAGTTTTAGCTTTTCTTTTTAACTTTTTGTTTTTCTCTGTGCTTTACATTTCTTTGTTGTTTTCTGTATTTCTGGGTTTGAATTATATAGCTAAAGATTACAGTTACGCTAGAAAAACTTAATGAAAAAAGAATGCAAAAGATGCACATAAATATAAAATATATAAAAACCAATACAAAGAAAACATAGCAGAAGATTTAAAGTCAAAATGTTTTGGTTATTTGTATCCTAAGGTTGTTCTCTCATTCCAAACACCAAGCAACTGATTAACAATTTATATTTGTTTGGTACTGCTTCAAAGTTTGTAATTATTTTTTTACCATTTTATCAAAATTGTGTAATAATGATTTGTCACTATATAAATAACACATAGCTGAGAGGGTGATAGAGCAGATTGTTTCCCCGAGAAAACATTGTCAACCGAGGCGAAGCCAAGGTTGATAATGTCTTTTTGAGTGGTAGCAATCTGCTCTATCACCCTCTCAGATATGTGTTATTTAATTTATTATACTGAATGTTCTGTACATAGCAACCATCCGTTTTTAATAAAGCGCACAATTGATCAAGTGTCTCCGTGAAGGGTAACATAGATTTGCCATGGGATAGAGTAAATTATCTGCCTCGTATTAACCATTCTTGCATTTTGACATAAAGTATAATAAATTATAAATATTTTTTCTTGTAGCATGCGTTTTCCAACAACAGTAGGTAAGTGGACTCTTTTTTTTTATATAAACATTTTGTTTTGATTTTGTTTCTTTTCAACATCTAAAGAGATGATTTCAGCTTCCCAATTATAAACTTTCCATTTCTATGTAGCAACATTCCAGCAGCGCCTGCACACGGAGTATATATCTCCCAATTGATACGATATTCCCGGGCTTTTGTTTCCTATCATGATTTCCTTGATAGAGGATTGCTGCTCACAAGGAAGCTATTAAGACAAGAGTTCCAAATGGTGAAGTTGAAATCATCCCTTCGTAAATTTTACGGACGCCATCACGAGTTGGTTGACCGTTATGGAATAACCGTTTCACAAATGATATCGGATATGTTCTTTATGTCGTTACTACAATACCCTTCCCTTTTCACGAATGTGACTTACCGAATGAGACTATTTACCGGATTTGTAATAACATAAGCAACACGACGGGTGCCACATGTAGAGCAGGATCTGCTTACCCTTCCGTAGCACCTGAGATCACCCCCAGTTTTTGGTGGGGTTCATGTTGCTTAGTCTTTAGTTTTCTATACTGTGTCATCTGTACTATTATTTGTCTGTTTGTCTTTTTATTTTTGGCCATGGCCTTGTCAGTTTGTTTTCGATCTATGAGTTTGACTGTCCCTCTGGTATCTTTCGTCCCTCTTCTAAGAAATTGTCAATTAAAACATCACTTCATTGGAAGCTTTAGCTTCATTGACAATAAAACGTGTGTCCTATTCGACACGGATTTTGCACTTGAATAACTGAATAAAATACAATGTCTCCCTCTGTTTGCTATGGATGTACAACGTTTCTTCACTCTCGATAACTTTATTTTATTTTTCTAACATGTTCGTTTAAGCTTGCAAGTTGAATATCTAAAGTAAAATATCTGAAGTGGAGAAATGCAGCAAAAAGAGGATATATATGCAATCATCATAAATGATTATTCACCAATTGATGCATATGAAAAACAATTAGTTTTCGGTAAACATTTTAATTACATAATTTTTATTTTCATTTATATTTTATCTTTTGCAGATGAATGGTTGGGAATAAGCATTCAGAATATAGAAAAAATGGTATTGAACGACAAACTAGTCACATATTTCAGTAAAGCTCTCATTCCGTCGCACCTCGGTATAACTGGGGAGTACTTTGGATTTACCGGAAGTGAGGTGTGCCACATTAAGCATGACACAAAGGACAGTGCCCGAGAATTTTGTCGACAACTGCTCAAAACCTGGTGTAATAAAAAAGGCGAAACAGCAACCATCGGTGCTCTATTAAAGACGCTTTATGAAATTTCACAACAGGAACCGACATGCATTGATATAAAAAGTATAAACGAAGCTTTGAAAAAAGCAAACAATTCTCAGATTTTGTAGAAATATTTTTTTCACAAGATTTCCCCTTTATTGTGCTGTGCAACAATGTGGTTCTGTAAATGGCTATTTTGCTATTATCACAAACATATAGGTAACTCCATTGCAGATTAAGATGGGGTTAGGGTGGGATGATACGTTTTATGCAAAGAAAAAATGTGCGTTATATTCTGACATATTCATAATCACGAATATATTTCGTACTTTTTCAATATATTTAAGACGGATTTTAGTCTTATCGAGTTTATTTGTAATCCATGTGGTTTATATTTTTTAGTTTTAGATAAGGATGTTGTATCTAAATTTAAAAGAAATGTAGCTTTCATGGAAATAGTCACATTTTATTTACATACATCTTCAACAACTTTGTACATTCAAATGTTAAAAAAAGGAGAGAAGCTAACACGTGGTGGCAATAAACAAATTCGTCGAAGTAAGACAAACAAAACCGAACTCATAAGAGAAAAAAATATAAACAAACAACAGTCAGCAGAACACTATAGAGAAGACTAAATATTGAGCAATATGAAAAACACAAAAACAATTGAATTAACTCTGATGCTTGGAAAAAATAAGTAATTCATTCTCCACTAGTAACAGCCCGCCTGTTTCTCCTGTCAAACTACGTAAATTAGTCATAACTCGTAATACGACATAATATATAGAAAGGTATTTTGTTTACCCTAATACATTATCAAATTTAAATACCATTAAAATATGTTAAAAAACAGATCAAAGATATCAGGCTTCTTATTTTGTACGCCAGACGAACGTGTCGTCTCCAAAAGACTCAATAGTTATGATAGGATACAAAATGTTAAAAGGCCAAAAAGAGTACGAAGTATGAAGATTTTGAAGACCCCAAAATATGTCTTTATTTGTATGTCTTTTTGATCGAGTTAAGCCATTTCAATTGATATTTTATAGTGTCTCTTCTTATGTTGTAATGTTACTCTACTGTTTCAGGTTAGGTGAAGGTTGGCGCCTGTGAATAAATTTAAACCCGTTGCATTTGCACTGTTAACAAGTGGATGATGGTAACTGAAGTTACCACGATCCCAATATGGCGGAGGGGAATCCCCGTAAGATCTTTCCCTCTTAATTTCTTTGTTTTTACATAAATGTGGATAAAATTACTCAGCCGTCGTTTGGTTATTAACATTTGCAATGAGTCTGTAAAATATTAACCTTAAACAGCTGTCCGTTACTGAGAAAATTGAACACAATAAAAATGCGATGATGATGGTAACTCCAAGATGGGATGGTGGTAACTGTCGATCAAAATAGTTAGAAGATGATGGTAACTTTTATATTACACGAGGTTTCTTTTCAAATATATAGTGTTTAACATCTCTTTACATGAAATGAAACACAATAACCCATCTTAACTGAAACCACTATATTGGAGAATAGATCAGTACTAGCGCAAGAGACAAAAATGTGTCGGGGAAACAAATTAAAATGTTTTGTAAAATGAAACTGTCTTTAATGCAACAAGTTCACAAACAGTGTTGTAATACCAATTAAAAAACTATATATGTTTCAACAAAGAATCAAATAATTAAACAATTGAAAATTCAAAAGGGTAAGCCTTAAACAGATTTATATGCAATTCCTGTTTCTTGTCAAAAATGAATAGATAGATATAGGAGTTTTATAAAAAAAAAAAAAAAAAAAAAGAAAAAAAAAACATTTTACTTTGAGGTAATGAAGGAAAAATCAAAAGTTAAACATATTTCAAGAAATGCTAGGCATAAGAGAATGCCTTCTTAGAGCATCACAATATGGGGTGGGGACTTTTTTCGGGACTCCGAGATAAGGCGGTTTTAAGCTCGGAATTTTGGAATTGATCCTTTTGGGATACGGGAATTCCTATTTCAAATTTCAGGATGTCGGGATTAAAATTTCTTTAAATTCGGGGCCGCTTGATTTCAAGCTTTTAAGCTTTGGATTTCGGAATCAAACCCCCTCCTCCCCTCCTCAATATAGTAGGTTTGGGAAACAGAAACAGGAAATAAACATATAATTGTGTTCAGCTTTAAAGTGAAACCAGAGAGGAATCTCTGGAAAACGTTTCATACCATTCAAACTTGTCGGACACACATCCTTTAAATCGCATCATATTAATTACAACTATTAGGTGTATATGTCAGTTAAATTCGCAAATTCTTGAAACAAAATATAAGCCCCCAATCATTCCATATTTTTCATTTTCTAACTTCATTGCCGGAAAGGTATTGTTTTCCCTATTGATATCTCAAAATCATAACCCCTCACATCTACATTTATCAAAGCATATAGTGAATAGAAGGAATTGTTTACACATTTTATGTTTTACATAAGTAAAACAGAAATTCTAGATGTTCTGTAATGAATATATTAAAAGCAATTATCAATTTTAAGGACTTTGAATAATGGTGCAGATAAATAATTTTAAAATGAGTGTAGACCAGTGTACAATATAAAAAAAAATTACCACAATCAAGCTTCTTTCACTTTCGTTGGGGACTTCCATAGTATTGTCTTTTCGATAGAAAAAAAATTACCACAATCCTGCTTCTTTCACTTTCGTTGGTGACTTCCATAGTATTGTCTTTTCGATAGAATACAAAAATATCAATGGTGAATATATATTATGAAATTGGTTATATATAAAGATCCAGACCGATACTCAGTGGCGGATCCAAAAAGGGGGGTGCCGGGGATTGACACCCCCTTTTTATTGGAAAATTTGTCTTTTTCATGTGACAAATTGACAAAAAATGTTAAATAAGGTACTAGCACCCCCTTTTTTCTGAGAAACCCTGGTTAGCACACCCCTCTTTTTTTCATAATGTCCGGATCTGCTCCTGATACCGATACGTAGTACTCAACTATGGATCATAATATAGGACGAAATACGAAACGTAAATTAATTTAAGGGTGAGAGGGCCCATATATCACTGCTAAAACTGTACTCGTTTTATACAACCTTATGGCAAGTTACCACCATCCCAGAAATCAGTTACCACGATCTTTCAAAAATAACATGAACAGCTACCATCATTAACGTACTTTTTTCACTCTCTATTTTCTAAGTAACGGACAACAAGATTAATATTTTACAGACTCATTGCAAATGTTAATAACCAAACGACGGCTGAGTAATATTAGATACATTTATTTAAAAACGAAGAAATTAAGAGGGAAAGATCTTACGGGGATTCCCCTCCGCCATATTGGGATCGTGGTAACTTCAGTTACCATCATCCGCTTGTCAACAGTGATTTGTATGCACCTGTCCTAAGTCAGGAGCCTGTTGTTCAGTGGTTGTCGTTTTGTTAATGTAGTTCACAAATCTTTCTTGTTTTTTATATAGATTAGACCGTTGGTTTTCCTGTTTGAATTGTTTTACACTAGTCATTTTGGGGTCGTTTGTAGCTTGCTGTTCGGTGTGAGACAAGGCTCCGTGTTGAAGGCCGTACTTTGACCTTTGAACAGCGGTATACTACTATTGCCTTTATTTGGCCTATAATTGTTTACGTTTTACACATTGTGACTTGAATGGAGAGTTGTCTCATTGGCACGCATACCACAACTGCTTATCTATATTTGCCAAATACAGCTACGGTAATCTATTCCTGAGGTAGAAGATCTGTAGTTTTTCGAACAATTGTTTTGTTAATTAGCTTACCCTTATAAATGACCGAATGCAAAATTTTGAAAGTGAAAATACACTTTTTAGGATATATAGGATAGAAAAGACCATTAAATAAATAAATATCAAATTTATAGAAAAGTAAAACATCACGAATTTCCCAGAAAATTGACGCAAAAGCAACACAAACCCATTAATTGTAGATTGTTCTCTCTTTTACTGTTGATGCATTGTTATGCATGTAAATATGTCATTACAAATAAATTTCATTAAATGGATTTTTTAAAACTAGTCTTTTGATAGAGGATAGCAAAATAGCAAAACTCTGTTTCATTTTCAAGTTATCGCGAATAAAAAAAAATACCGGTCTTCTTCTTTTATTCCCTAACAAACTTCCCTTCAAGCGTATTAGCTCATAGTCACCGTGAAGCACAGTCAATAATATACGTTTGTTTAATCAGATGAAATATTCAACATTGTGATTGATATGGGAGGTTTGGCTTGTTGATAATCATGTGCACTATTATTAATCCGTTTGTACTGTTGTGGTTGGTATAACATATACGTTAAATAATCATGCAATGTATCATAATCATGATAAAAAAGGAGAAACCAAGGGAGCAATCGGAACTCATAAGTTATTCAAACTCAATTAAACATACAACATCATGACCAATCAGAAAAATGACAAAACGATAAACAACAATAACAAAACATTGCACAGAAATCTAAAGATAAAGCAACACGAAAAATTAAAAACAGGCAACGACTTTATGTTTACACTAGTTGTGTTGCTCATGTGAGTACAAATCCGGTGATAAGTCGTATTTCATAATGTCAAAATTGACGGAAAAAAAAACGGGATTGTGATCGCGACAAGTGGAACATGTCTGTGTTCATCTGTTACACAGATATTCATAACGGTAAACAAATATATAATAGCGTCCAGCGTCTGTTTCACTTTCGGAGAGATAGAATTCAACTTTAAAAATTGGAACCCTTGATGGAATAGCTGCCTTGTAAGCATCTACGCTCTATCAAGGAAATCATTGACGAAACACAGCCTCAGGATTGTAGTATGAACGGGGAGATATATACTCAATATGTATACGCTGTTGGAATGTGGCTTCAGAGAATTGGAAAGTTCACAATGGGAAAATTGTAATCATTTCTTTTGTCGTTATGTTTGTTCCTAGCCGACTCTCATTGTCAATTTATATATCTAAAATGACAAAAGACAGAACAGGGGATAATATAGAATGAAACTTGATGACTTTTTCTTAATCCTGGTTAATTAAACAGATATCACAGTAAATGTAAACTTTATAGTACATGCAATTTCAAAATTTTAATTTTAATTTGCTTATCTGAAGTCAAAAGAATGCTTTACTGTCAATTCTTTAACTTTGGAATCAATTTTGGTATTTAAATATATCATTGTTGCATTGCTGTTTTCTTTGATTTTTTATTGATTTTAGTATGGCTTTAAAAAATAACTTCTGCATTTTAATGCATATTTAATTTCTTTTGCATGGAAAATAAACAATCGTCAGACAAAACTAGTTCTTACACAATGTCTTCGGTTACGTAATCTGTCATATTGTCATAGAACGAATATTAATTGTTTGGTTATACTGAATTGCACACGCAAGTAAAATAAAACTAAACCGATCTAGTTGGTGAAAAGTATTGTGGTCATCGCAACTATTTTATCTACGACTAAAGGTAACCAAACTCCATCTCCCGAAATCATATGAAAAAGATGGCTCTATTAAATGATCAATTGTACGTTAAAATCTAAAATAACTACTGATCGTTTAGTAAAACCACTATTATGCAGCCAATTAACTATTTAGAATTGGATACAATCAGCAGGATGATGATATTAGATGTTTGATTTTACAAATAGTTCCATGTTCATTTCTCTAATCACGCTATTTACCAAGTATCATTTCATTTACGTTTCTCCCTAGTTAAGTGATCATCATTCTGATCTTAATTTTACGATGTATAATCTGAATTCATCAATATTCCTAAATCAAACGAAGGATAAAATACCAACGTATATCAATATCATGTTAGACTCATCAAGTACAAACTTAAAAGATGCAGACTTGTATAATGAAATGCATAGCTTGTATTGGGAACAGACAATACGCCATAGTGACAGTAAGTACGTTTTAATTATTGACCTCTATATTTTAAAACAATCCTCGTGTAATAGAAACGGACTCAGGTGCTTAGGTTTGTAAGTTTTTTCAAATATCTTGGTTTTTTTAAAAGTATTTATTATTAACATTGTTTCCTGTAACTCTAAAATTTCACAAGCTTATTATACCCCTGCTTTCAAAACCGGACGTTGTATAGCGATGGGAGAGTCCGTCCGTCTTGGCGTCCATTCATTCGTTCTTCTGTCCAACTTTTGTATTCACAACTGTTCTCGTTAACCGCATGCCATGATATTGTAAAACTATCACAGAATCTAAATCACATTATGTACCGTTACACCCTATTCAATTTCTTCATCTGAATGATTTTGGGAGTTTACTATAGGATGACATGGACATATATGCACACTAAAGAACATATTTTGTAACCTCTTAGCCTGCTAAACCTTTGAACAAAATTAAATGAAACTTTCTCAGAATCTTTACCATAAGTTATTTTCTACAGCAAAAATAGTGAAAAAAACCTTATCATAGACATCAGGCTTACAATTTTGTACGCCAGACTCGCACTTCGTCTATAAAAGACTTATCAGTGACGCTCGAATAAAAAGGTTAAAAGGGCCAAATAAAGTACAAAGTTGAAGAGCATTGAGAACCCAAATGTATTCTATATTATTTAGATGAATATCTATTCTAATCATTCACATATGGTTATGTAAGAAGCAATGCAAATTCACGCAGCTTAAATGATAAGATATTTTGGCTCATGTTTCCCTATTGTCAGGATTCTACGTCGTCAAAATTATCTCCCTATTACGCCACTTAATGATTTCACTCGTGAAATGAAAACCTTTGTAGGGATGACTCGCTGTCAATTTAACTCTTGAAAACCGATAAATGTATCCCCATAGCATCATTACGATCCTAACATGACAGCTGTATTTCAAATTTTAAAAATATCTTCTAGCCATCATTTAATGTACGTGTATGCCTTTTGTCAATTTAAAATTATTGTCTGATCGGTTTTCAGGGGAGAATTTTTCGAAATTCAATAAAACACTAAAACAATTCTACCTAAATACTAATACACGCAAAATATGAAATCTTTTGAAGTTTTGTAGAAAAAAGATCCACTAGGAAAGTCAAGGGCTTTCAGTAAGAAAATAAAGGGGTGTGATTCGGTGAGTCCGTCTTTTCTACTTTTTTAGTACATTTCATGAATAAAATAATTCATATGCCTAAAATTTCTTTGCAAAATGAATGAACGACAACCAAATAGAATACAAATATGAAGTACGCCTCAAATTTTAACATGTGTAGTAGCACAAGCTTTTTTTGGTTTCGTTAATCAAACACATTTACTTTGTTGCTATGACTCATTAAAAATGTATTCCACTTGATCCATATACTTCCTTTCTTGGTAATGTGAATTTTCAATATTATTATATCAACATGTAGCCTAGATATGTAAAAATAATGGGATCTAAAGCGCGATGATGTATCAAATGTATGTTCGATTTATACGTTTTCAAAACAAAACAGTCAACTCAATCACGCCTGAACATAAAAAGGTGTATTCAACTTTCTCTTTTCGATGAGATTATAGCCCACTTGATCCATATACTTCCTTTCTTGGTTATGTGAATTTTCAATGTTATTATATCAACATGTAGCCTAGATATGTAAAACTAATGGGATCTAAAGCGCAATGATGTATCAAATGTATGTTTCATTTATACGTTTTCAAAACAAAACAGTCAACTCAAACACGCCTGAACATAAAATGGTGTATCCAACTTTCTCTTTTCGGTGAGATTATAGCCCATTTTAAAGATTATTTTTCAAAAAAAACTGTTGCCGTTGGCAGATATGGAAATTGATGCTTTAAAAAGATCAATCTTTTATCTTTCCATGTTTTTTTTCCGGCGTAATTTATGCTTATGCACAAAAAAGAACCACATGTGTTTGCACCTACCATAATTGACTGTTTTGTGCAAATTTGTCTTTGATTTAAAAAATTTAGAAATATCTCGACGCTCCATACTATAATGTAAGTGTAAATATGTATAAAAGATACAAAACATTCTAAATTATGCACCTACACTGAACTTTTAAAGCCAATAGAAACTGACATAAACAATTCAAATATACTGACCCGGCCATTTTTACCTTATCACCTTCTCTAATAAAGAGTTCCCTTTTGTTTTATTTCAGCTGGATATGAGCCTGCCTAAATTAGCTATATCATCTAGTTCTATACAAGGAATGTGCTTTTCTTTAAAAATGCATTAAACCATCACATATTAACAATAAACAATTGAGTTTTACAATTTGTATCGATCATTTTATTTGGAAATATTCAAATCAAGCGTCGTCCCAAATAATGCTTCCACGGGAAGTGAGTTTTCCAATTGTTCATCATTTGAAAAACATTTTATCTTTAACTTGCTTTGTAAAATATGTCATTAGCATGAATGTCAACAATAAATAAAATATACATGATTTATATTTACCTCTGCATCACTTAGTCCTTCTTGGAACACATACTAAAAATTGGAACTTTTTTTAAATGCTACAAGTTTAAGTGGAATAGACAACCGCAAAATCGAAATAATGGGAGTTTGCGACCGGATGAAATTTCTCAAATAAACGAGTTCGGTACCTTGTATTATAATAAAGTATATAGGTAAAACAAATTAGAGACAAGTGCCTGTGAACCTGACGTCTAATATTGATGCTCTTTTGCTTTCATGGCTTAAGAAGGAGAACAAATAAGATTACTATAAATTACAATGGTCAATACAAGAACAAATAAAATCCCAATAAATTGCAATGGTCAATCAATGGAAAACTTTCCCGCGCAATTGACATGTGTTAAACAAGATATACTCAAATTTGGATTATTTTTACACAGCAAAATAAAATGTAAATGTCAGCTATATATAATGTTAGATTTTTAAGTACTTTATCAGAAAATGATTTTTTACTTGCAAACAACACTAAATAATATACATCAACTCGCCTCTGAATCTGTAGTCAACCCCTAAAATATAATGGTATAATGCACAAAGAAATTAGATCAGAGATATAGCTTTGTGTAAAGTGAAAATACCAAATACAAGTGAATTGATTCATCGGTTATGTAATTTGCTTGCATAAGAGCCTTGAAGTTGATACTACGAATGATTATATGTATCCTGTCAACCAGTGAAAATAATACTGACTACTTCCGCGCGCCATTAACCGAATTTTTAATTCATTGTAATAGTTATTGTAATGATAGCCTAAGATAAATCATAAATGCAAGGTTCAAAATTGTTTATACTAGAAGCGCGTTTTTGTTTTAATTGTTTAATTCGTCCATTACTGGAGCAATATTTTGCGTTTTCCCCCGTTAATTAACTTTACTGGGACTCCATAGGTAATATGAAGCTCGTCTAATCATTACACCAAATATTAGTGGAAAGAAAATTGTCCAAAACCATTTTCCAAATAATTGGGTTAGTGAAGTTAAAAACAGAGGCGGAAGATACCAAAGGAATATTCAAACTCATAAGTCAACATATGCCTAACTGATATCGCCATAGAAAAGACTGAGCAACATGAACCCTACCAACAACTTGGGTGATCTTGGGTGCTCAACAGGGATATGCATATCATGCTCCACATAAGGCACCCGTCGTGTTGATCATATAAATACAAACTCGGTGATAAATCTTATTCGGTGATGAAAAGAGGACAAGATTATTGTTACGACAGTTGAAACATATATGTCGCATCTGTGATACAGATATTCCATAACGGTCAACCAACTCGTGATGGTATCCGTAAATAGTTTAAAGGGATGACTGCAACTTCACCACTTAGAACCCATGGTTTAACAGCTTCTTTGTAAGCAGCAACACTATCAAGGAAATCAGGATAGAAAGGTATAGCTCTGGTTTTCTATATCCATAAAAGTGCTTTAGTCCCTCTTAGTTCATAAAGCGTTAATTTCATTTACATTGAATTAATGTGTTTTTGTATCCATTATTTATCTCCTGTATTGTTTTCCAGATAGACAGATGAAAATCAATGCGAATTCAGCAATGAACTTTAGTAAGTCATTAAATTCAACAGACTTAGTTAGAATGGATACTATTGAGGGATTTGTGGTTATTACTTTAGGCTTGGTCTGTACGATCGGAAACTTTTCTTGTATGGTACTTATTGTTTGTCACAGAAAATTCCGTAAAACAACTATAGTTATTCTATGTCATCACTGCTTTCTTGATTTGGTCAAATCTCTTTACCTCTATCCTTACGGATATAGTTTAATGACGTCACTTCCCGCTCCTTACTGCAATTGGATTGGTTCTTCATATGTGTTTATAGTAACAACGTCTGCTTACAACATGATGGCGCTCGTTGTTAACCAAGATTATGAACTCTTGCTTCCACGGTACAGGCAAGATGATTGTTCATGTGTTTTATTTGGAATTTTTATTATTTGGTTTGTAAGTTTTTTACTTAATCTCGGAATTTCGATTATTCCATCAAATACAGACTTTAACGCTGAAATCGGAATATGTTTATTTCTTTACGGGTATAATTACAGTTACATTATTCATGTTCTGTGGATAATCTTAGTGACCATAGCTGTGTCGTCTTCGTTAATGTTTTTCTGTAGAATGCGTGGAAAGTTAATCACTGATATGAAAAGGTACAAATGGCGACAAATTCACGAGTCTCTCACAGACGAATTCGAAAAAAATCTTGATTTTAATATCGAAGACGGAGAGAAAGATGTTAGCATGAAGGCACAACGTAAAGCTATTCTTTTACAATTAAGGACAACGAGAATTTTTATGTTGATTGTTATTTCATTTATAGCCTTTTGGTATCCTCTTTTCATACTTACACTTGGCGATTTCCATTTCCAAGTAACTCCATCAGTATATCGAATACTAACGATAATAGCGTGGAGTCATCCTATCACAACGCCAATATTGTGTAGCCTTGTTTTACGTGATATTGAATTCAAAGGATATACTCTAAGAGATATTTCCTCAAATTTGATTCCCTTGCGACGGATTTCTTCGCGAAGACATCATTATAAAAATTCAGATATCTTCGATTTTGACTGTAAATTCCATTTAGATAGCGAGGTATCAGACGATCATTTACATTCAGAAGATGAAGAATATAAGTGCATTGGATTTGCAAATCAACAATTAATTCCTGATAAGGTAACAAGCACGGTATGAAAACAAAGTTATCGTTCTTTGTACAGTAGTATCAGAATTGTAGAGATGAGATCTTTTGTCAAATATGTACAGAAAATTTCAAAAGTAAACTGCAAATGCCATATATTTTGTGATATGTAGCGTAATTTTCATGAATAATTCTCGTCCGTAAAAGATCACAGTGATCAGATTTGCCATTGTGAAAATGGAACAAATGTTCAATTTGAATTCTTCCTGGGGTAAAGTTCACGATGATATGGCCCCGTTCTTTTGTTTAGCATTGAACAAGTCGATTTGTTGTAAATGTTATTTTATCGCATTTTGGCAAGGACTATGTTTAGTGCGATATTGAATATTTCTGGATGGAAAAACAGGATTCGATAGATGAATCTGTGAATCTTGTCGATACATTTAACATTGTCTGAGGAATATTAAACCAAGGTCAAATGAAAAGGAATTTTCAACAAAAGAGGAAAAAAGATGATTCCAATATTGACATTTTTAACAATTGTCGATAAAGAACATACCAGAAATATGACAACTAAATGACACACCATGAAGAAAATTTTATTTATTAAAATCCACACAGATTTTATTATGAAATGTCAGCACTGTTAATCGTATGATAGTGCGAAATTCGCTAAATTCATCGCATCTAGTTTCAAGGTAATCAATTGTCAGCCGCGAGATTTAAAGATGAGAGCAAGAAAGCTTAACGATAATATTCAGACTTCAAGATATAGAATTTTTTTATGAAAATGACATGCATCAGATATTGAATAATAATTAGGTTTTTATATGTATAGATGAAAACATACGAGATTATCACGTTCAAGTGGTGAAACTTGCAGTATCAGCTAAACTGTTAAACAATCATCATTCTCATGTTATAAAGTCTTCCTTGCAAGGAATGCATCTGGGATAGAGGTATGGCGGTGAACAAGCAAATAAATTTCACCTACTCAAACTAGGCATAGATTTGAAGCTCTTGAATGAGACAACAGAGTCATTCTGACTTTTCGATACCGGCTATTGATATACTTATGCGTACCGATAATGCTTATAAATCAGCAAAATCAATTTCTTCAGATGGACACAAAAAAGAACATGTAAAATGTCTATTTCCATAGATTTCAAATTGTATACACGTTACTAACAATTTTAAAATGTATATTATATATAACCTTATTAGTTTAAATTGATACAAGACATGTGCGAACTGTCATTAAAATCGACAACGTTGATAGAATTCTGGAGGAATATAAGTTTGATCAAAGATGAACTAATCATTTACTATCCCAAATATATGTTTGTCCAACCGTTCAATGATAGTGTAAAGGTTGCAGAAAGAAATGGCGAGTCTTCCGGAAGTATTCCAAGTAGTCCGCAGCATTTCCATCTTGTATTTAGATATATTGGTGATAGCGATAACCATTCCGGACGATTTACTCCAGTAGTTATCGTTTGCACCAAAGAAGGAGAAATAATTATATGTGTCTCACATATTCTTAATCAGAAGTAGTTAAATATATCTGCAAAAGCGGTATAGATGTCTACTGTTTGGATAACGTAGCTTTATAGAAAGAAAGACAAAACCTATAAAATACAACAAAACTACCATATAGACACGAGAATGAACTAGAGAATGTAAAATTATTCATATGTAAATTATATAAAGCATAGATAAAGCTTGCAATTAACTTATTATTGCTTGTTTGATGTTCAGTAGCAAAAACAGGAATATTGTGGACAAGTAAAGATGGTTGTGGACAAGTAAAGATGGAACACTTTGTTGTTGGCATTTTATGCAAAATATTTACTATAGTTTTATTTGCAGAATTGATTAATCTGGTTGGGTTACAAATTAAATAGGCAGATATAAAACAAATCAATAAACAATTTGAGGAAAAGTATAACAAAAATACCGAACAAGGTAAATTCAAAAAGGGGGAGTCCATAAAATCTGACAAAATCAAACGTTATAAATTAATGGAAAGAGCGAAAACAACAATGAATACACAATAAAGTAGTCCACTACCTTGACTAGATGTCAATAACATTCATTTGGACTTGCGATATGTACTTTACGTAGCAGGAAGCAAAAAGGAGAAATGACCATTTGGAAATTAAAATCACTTTTCAGTTGTAGATTTCACCTTCACCAAAACATAAAATTCAATTCAATATAAGAATTTAAAGAATGAACATAAAACAAGAGCGTCCAAAAGTTCGTAGTATTATTTGTCATAAACTTTCGAAATAATAGGCTTCGTATTGAATCAAAACTGCAAGTATTCAAATGGAAAGTTTAAAATTCAAAATCAATAACACGAAAAAAGAGGGAGTAGTTACAAAGGGCCAATCATAAACCATAAGTTGAACAAAAAACATACCATAACTTGCCTAGAAAGAAAAACGACAAAAAGACAAATAATAGTTCAAAAAAACACTTTAAAAATCCCAGTTTCAAGACTTGCTCGAAGAAAGTTACAAATTAGAAAGAGAATGTTAACATCGAACAAAGATATCAGGCTTTTGATTTTGTACGCCACATGCGCTGTTCGTCTACACGAGACTCATCATTGAACAGATAGTCATTATCATGAAGTCTCAGTTTAATCAAGTTAACATATCTTTAGATAACTGTCCTTATGGATAACTGATCTTTATAGTCTTTTTCTGCATAGGCATGTCTTTGTTTTTATCAACGATCAACTTCCACGTCTTGCATTTCTCTCATTGAATAGTGTTTAATTGAAAATGGTGCCACTTTTTCGTTTTTTCCTGGTAGAGGGCGTCGATTTTTATGAATAATGCCTCCAATTTTATCGCACAACTTACTGAAAATGCTACATGGTAGGACATATATGGTTTGAAAAGAACAACTACAAGAGTACAAATCATTCAGCTTTAACTTTAATTATTTAAAAAAATGTTAACACACATAAGAATTAATTACAACATTCTGATAAAAACAAGTAAAAACAAAACATTATAATCTACAATGCATCAATAAGAAATCACAACACTCTGACCCTTTTCTCAAGCATATCTTGATGTCACTTCCATCTTCCCAATGTTAGTTATAGTATTAAAAAAAATGAATTGATTGAAAATTTATTAGCATCGATGGAATCTTTCATTTGTTGCAATATATCGGCTTATCGTTATAATTTTTTTTTTTTTTTTTGTATATTTCAACAAGCTAACACTTTCACTTTCATATGGAAAAGTTTGGTTTTTTTTGTTCTAGAAGGAAAAATCTTTACAATCATGTCGTTTATTATTAATCAGCTGACAACTCGTCGCAATATACATGTAACCTGTTTGCGCTTTTGTGACGTTAAGCAATCATCCATCAATCAATCAATTATCTTGCATCTCATATAAGATATGTATCAAACGAAACTGTCCATCAGTAGGTGGCTTAAACTTTCACAGAATAAACTGCAATTACCTAACGGAAAAAAATAATTTCCAGTTAAGACAAATGGTTTTGCATTCTACGATATCTTTCTTTTACTGCATAATGTATTTTCTTATAGTAATTTAGTATAATTTACTGCTTGTATATTGTGTTATCAAATTGCAAACAAAGCATTTCATACTCCAAAACGAGAAACGTAAGTTAAAAAAATGGATGTATACAATTATTCAGTTCATTCAAAATTGATCACTTCCCAAAATAATTCACTGCATGGTCGGCAACACTAAGTCATAACTTGGTTTATTTAGTACTCAAATATTTATCAACTCTGTCCGGTCAAACAAAATAGTTATACGAATTCTTCTCCTGCCAGATAAATAAATACAATGGACTTATTAGCACTTTTAATTTTGCTTTACTTTCCATGATATGCCTTCTGTAAACAAATATATAAACTTAGTACAATAACTGCTGCATCAAAAATATTGCCCGACTTTCACAACCTTTATGAAATACTCGTTACACCGACAGCTCATTGCATCATTTATATGATGCTTTTCTGTAAAAAAAAAAACATGTGGGTCACGTCAATGAAGATCTTTTCCTAAATTTCTTCTCTAACAATTTGGAAATCTCTTCTGGATTTGAATTTTCCTCTGCAGAGAGGTTTCTACCGAGGATTTCAGCTATGCTAGATCTGTCAATATCAGAATCAGCAAATAATTTGAAGAAGTCAATTACTTCACCCGTGAACTGATTCCTGAATGCAGGACAAAAACTATTACACCATTGAGGTAGAGGACACGATTCAATCACGTGATGATTACAATGGCCCACATTTTTTGCAGACCTTTGTGCACGACTTCGCTTTTTACTTTCTGAAAAGAAAAACATAAAAATGAATGCAGTTTTCATTATTTCAAGCCTATCTTTATACAAAGTGAAGTCGATTTGTGTATAATTTGATATGCTTATACATTCCTTGTGAAGAAGGATCTGCTTCTTCTTCAGGAGAATCTGAGATCACAACCGGTTTGGTGGGGTTCGTGTTGCTTAATCTATGTAGTGTTTTGTAGACTTGTTTGCTTTTTCCGGGTTTTTTTCGTGGATTTATCGGTTTCTCTTCAATTTCTAAATTTTGGATGACCCTTTGTTTTTTATCTGTCTCCTTGTTAAACAATTTTACTTGTTTCCATAATTGCATTTGTGATTAATATCGTTATTTATATGTTTGTTTTCATTTTATTTAAAACTTGATATTCAAAATGAATGATGCATAAAATAATAGACATTAAAATAACAACTTTATCAATGTGAATGAGCATGGAAGTATTATATTGACTTTATTACTTCTATGAAATGATAGATGTTAGATATGTGTCAATAATACAACAACCCAACGACTTAAAAGACATATTGAACAATGTATTCCCCTTATTCCTGTTTGGTCTTACTTTTTCTTCTGTTCTTTCTTCTAACTCGACGTCTTCGTCTTTTTTCTTTATCGAGTTTGTTTCTTTTTTTATTTTTGTTTCTATTTCTATTTTTATTCTTGTTCTTCCTCTTTCTCTTCTTTTTCTTCTTTTTCCTTCGACGAACTCGCTTTGGTTTATTTGTAACTGATGGTCCGTCTTTTAGAAGAGGGTCAGTATGAGGTATACTGGAATTAGAAATTGTTTGATCTATAGTATATTTATCAAATTCAAAATCCCAAAGTTAAAGATTTTGAAATTGAAATGAAGGTTAATTTTTCTCCAAAACAAATTGTCTTTCGCTTATCGGTCTTTTATATGAATTCAACATAATTAATTTATCAAAAACTAGTATGTATCATTTAGAAAATATAAAACTAACGGATAGAAAGAAATTAAATGATTAATTTGATCCAGATGAATGGGTGTGCATTGAGGAGATTTTGATGAGTCTTAAAAAAAATTACATTCACTATATAAACCAGTATCATATGTGCTGTTATTGCGTGTTTGAAGCTTTATGATGAAAAGAGAAATCACACGATCTCTCTGTTACAGGACAAATACAAGTTCACTTAAATGTGTATTGTGTATTACACCTTTTACAATGAGATTATCTACTATAGTCTGAAACCAGTTAGGCACCCTACCTTGTATAATTTTAAGGTGTTAAAACATTTGCCTATAAAATTTATCAATGGTTATATACTTGTAGTATTGTCTTTATAATGTCCCCTGAAGATTTAGATAAAAACTAATGTTTGAGTGGAGAATTGAACAAGTTGTAGACATCTCAGTTTGACTACTTTAATTTGAATATTAATCTTCAGTTGTCAATAAGTAGGTTACAACGGACTAACTCAAATATTTCCATTTCATAAAGTTTGTAATTGCACTAACAATAAAGTTGAAACTCTCTCTAGGAAAATTGACATAAGAGACCATTTTGGCTGTTCTGATGTGTACAGGCCTCTTTAATGATTCTGTCAAATAATTAAATTCTTGGCTTTCCAAATATTTGGTTCCCGATGAAGTTTATTCCAGAAACACGGGTCATTCCGACTGAAATGGTTGACATACATTTTTTACATCTGGGGAAAGTGTATATTTTTCATTGATATTCTATTCCCTGTTATTTTCTTATTTTCTTCGGAAAATGTCTGGAATATGACAGTTGTTTTCCATTTTTTCCTTCGGTTGATGTAGTCGAACGTGTGGTTTTGTTATGTTATGGAATCCCCCTTTTTTAATTTGTTTTTTATTATACATTTGTATTGGTGCTCTTTGCCTTCTATTAAATATACCTTGGAGTGGATGAGGTTGTAATGAGACATTTATCTTTTTCAAAGTTATTTTCCCAGCAATATATAGATTGTGCTAGTGTAACTCCATTCACTGAGACAGACTGCCAATCTCTGTAAAACAAATGCATTATATAGCCGTTCAGTGAATATTCAAATTAAATGTCAATATCGTATTGAAAAGAATGTCAAACTTAAATTTAATTGTTTACAAAGAAACATAAAACTCTAAAGTATTGAAAGTATTGCAAAAAGATTTGCAGTTTGATTCATCTTCTACACGTTTTCCTCATAAAATATCTGGATAAAACCATAAATTTCAATGATTTTAGGAGGATCTGACCACAACTTTAAAGAGTATTTGTCTGAAAAAATATTTTATTATTCCCTTTTATACTTCTTTTTTATTATGCTAGAAAAATATCTAACATTGATTTTGCACGTTTATCTTTCATTAAACAACTCATACCTTTTCGTCAATGAAACGTGAGACAGACACGCTGGTGCAAACACAGCTCTACAATAAAACGTAATGTGGTTAACATAAGTAACTATATCGTACTTATATCTTACTTGACTGCAATATTCACAAAATATTCTACAGTAACCAATTTATTGTGGAAACAATTGCAAATATGCAATACAGAATTTCAATTTCTGGCAATAGCTAAATTCCACAAACAAATTCAATTCAATGTTTCAACGTGCATTTTCTCCTATGTTTTATTTTTCTTTACTTTCCAGACGCTTGGTTTCCAGCGTACCTGATGAAGGTTTTTCTAAAACCGCTTAAGAATTCACTATAAGAGTTGCTTCTTGTTTGTCATATAGCACCACGAATAAAATAGCGTTAATATAAACTCAAGGGAATGAATGGAAGAAGTCAATTAGATGGCACCCCATCAACAATAAAAGAATGAAAGGTGCTTTCGTAGTTTGTCCGGAAAACCTCATATATGATATTTATACATTCAAAGTAATGACATTGAATTTGGTTTTGTTAATAGTTTGTAGCTAGAAACAACTTGTCATTGTTAATACCGAATTAGCAATCTAAATTAAAAACAAGTAGATTTAAAGCACCTCTAAATATGATTATTATGATGATGAATTGGTGTTTAGCGTGCCGTAGCATAAATTACATGCATATCAGGACGAGAATAGGTTAATGTTATATCAATATGAACCCTACTGTGTACTAGCTTTGCGTGAAAGAACAATTTTCAAGTCTTTAGTTTTACCCAACCGAGTACCAAACCCAAAATATTTCGAAGTCGAGGCGAGCACGCTACTACGAGACTACCGAGACGGCCTAAAATGATGATGTCTTTACTGTGAAGTGACTTTTTTTAGTTAAGTAATCGATAGGCTTGGTTTAATGTTTTGAAGATTTCGAACAGATTCTTTCATAAATTAATTTGTAATTTCGCAATTTCAATCTTTTATGCAATTTACTAGATCAAGATCTGTAGTTTCCCCATCTAATTATTCCGCCAATATATCCTAATAAAGAGATATGGATATATAGATGTGACATACAAGATCGCTTAACAATAAACATAAGTCATAAAATAAATTACTTACGATACGTTGTGGAGAGATTTTTTAACTTCCTCTCCCAAATTATGGAGGTATTGCCATTGCTCTTTAGACATTATACCAGCATACTGGTTCTTGGAATTCATGCTCAAATGAGATATATCGAGTAAGTTCATAACTGATATTTGCGCTTCATCAAAGAGGTATTGAACAATAAATACGGGAGCTACAAAACAAATATGAAAAACATATAATGCTACGCTTCAGTGTGACAGTCGAATCGAGAATGTTTTTTTTATTTACATTTTTTTTAACGAAAACATATTTTTTCGTTAAGTTCCTTTTTTATTTATTTTACTTGTCCTTATATTGAAAGTTATCAATGTATTGGAGCAAAATCAAATATCGTAATATAATTTCATTGCTGTTTTGGATTGTTTGTGAAAATACTATACAATGTATATTTGGACAATATAGCTTGTTTTTACAAGTTAAGGTCTTCTTTCCGGAAATGGTATGCATTTATAAATTCAATTTAGTGACAACTGAATCAAGATGTTGTAGAAACAGCCAGGCATATTTATTATATTTTTCCTATGTTAAAACTAATTAGAAACTGCGAAATGGGTTCTACTGTACTCCGTCCTCCGGTCAACTTACTTTTTAAGGTAGGGTACATTTTATACCCAAAATAACATTTCCATTGTTCATCTTCAGGGTATTCTTTTCTACATGCTTCTGGAACATTTCCCTTCCATAATCTGTTAGCAAAAAAGATATTATTATTATTATTATTATTATTATTATTATTATAGTTACTTACATCGACGTCTCTTGAACTTTGGTGGATAGTTATCTCATTGGCAATCATGCATACCACGTCTCCTTATTTTTATATTGATTACATACTTGGACGGCACTGTTGTATAAAAACGCTGGAAAGTGTAGTCCAAATAGGAAACTGTTCGCTCTGCGGAAAATACTTTTTGGATTTTTTGCAATAAATTGTTTCTGTCTTAGCATGCATGTAGTATTTACCACTGAACGTTAACTATACTGCAATCAGTTGGTAAAGATGATTATAAATCAAATTCGTATGAAATTGAAGCTTAGCTGTAAATTAAATATTAACTAGAAGAAAATAAGTACGGAAAGTTTAATTCATATAAAATTAAGAAGATGTGATACGATTGCTAATCAGACAATCATCCACAAGAGAACAAATGACACTTTGCTTCCGCACTTGCATCCTGATCAATTCTGGTTTGACAAATCTTAGAAATTTTAAAGCAGCTTAGTTTTCAATTCCTCAAGTAAGTTGACTTTTCCCAGTTTCTGCTTCTTTCTTTAAACCTTCTTCTTATTAGAACCTAAACATGCATACATAATTTGTTTTTTCAAAGAACGATCCAGATGAAAGGCGATGGAAAAAAAAAGTTGCGTTGGTAACAAATGTAAGATGCTCCATCAATATTGACCGAAAAAAGTATACTAAATTGACAATATTCATCATCCGTTCTAAGTGTTCATATCCCTGTATGCAGTAATAATTCCGTAATGTTAAATAACGACGCTTTAGTCCGATCTTACAGTGGAACGTAACTGAAGTTTTTAAATGTAAAATAACGATTTTTTTTTGTCTTTCTCTCTTCGTAATTGGAACACAGAGAAGTAATGTTACCCTATAAAATTCCAGAATGCCCCCCCCCCCCTTTTTATTTAAATTAAGTGTTGATTGCAGATTTAGAAATACCTTGACGGCTATCAATTAAACAGGTTCGAAATAGATTTTTAGTATTATTGTAAAACTATTTCGTCGATCGTTTATACAACATGATATAGAGACGTTTTTTCCAGCCATTATAATTAATAGTACTTTCTCTTTTCTCCTTGACCCAGTAAATAATCACCTTTAAGCCATTCTCTCTATCAAAAGAAACAATCTGGACCACACGAAGGCTTTTGTACCCAGAGTACAAAACATGAAAATTATTAATTCATTTTTACTTTTTAATGAATCAGCTCTGATTTAATCACAGGTAATTTACAAATTTTATCAATTTTATCGGTATAATTAAGACTTTCAGATGTAATCACCTAAACATGCAGTGCGTAAAAGAAAGTTAATTGACTGTATATAAAATACCCCGTGTGCCAATCTATGTTACTCGTTATTACCTATTGTTCCCTAATGAGGCATAAAGAGTTCCATCCACGGGAGCAATCGATTTCAACCACTTGTAACTTTCAATTTGAATAATTTCAATTTTAGTAAGTTGTGTCATATCATGAACTCCTGCAACGCAATAATGCTGTACCACGACCATAGGTATGTTTTGACATAAAATCGTTTAATCGGAGAAATAATAGGTTTTCTTCCCTCTGTGTTGTTTAACTGAATGACGAATTGCATTTTTATTGGGTTGGGATAATGCTTCTTACAAAAGCTTAAAAGGCATCCATGCAATAAATTAACTGAACAAAGTAATCAAAAAATATATAGGATATTTCTAAAGAGACAATTATTGATGCCCACTATACTACTGTTGAATCCATTAGTATCCGTTGAAACCACCATTTTGTCCCCATTCACTGTTGGTCTTTCATGATTCAATAACAATGAGAAAAGAGTTCTTGAGACAAGGCAATATCGAATTCTCATTATTTGTAATAATATAGTTCAAGTTACAAGTAAACTAACCTAAAGATGGCATGATACTAAACCCCTAACGGGAGGGATTGTGCTTGATTTTCATATGATGGAGACATAATCTTTCGATCAGTTTAATAGAGGTCTGGAGCTGCCATGTCAGTAACTGCTAGAAGTCCTCTGTTAATTTATGTTGATTAATGTCATTTTGCTTAGTTTCTTCTGTTACCTATTTAATTCTAATATAGGAATCGGAGTTCTTTTAAAGTGAATTTTCTGTGCGTATTGCAGTGTGTTATTTTATTCTACATTGGCTATAGGTATAGGGGGAGGGATCTCACAAAACATATTTAAACCCACCGGATTTATGCGCCTTTCCTAAGTCAGGAACCTCTAGCCTTTGTTTGTCATATGTTTTTTTTCAAATTTTGGTTCATTTGTATATGCCGGAGTTAAGTGTGGCTTCCATTTCGCTCAACTAGTATACATTATTGTTTATGGGCCAGCTGAAGCCCGCCGATTTGTCTCGCTGCGTTGAAGACCAATTGGTGGCCTTTGGCTGTTTTACTCTTTGGTCGCGTTGTTGTCTCTTTGTCACATTTCCCTTTTCCATTCTCTATTCAAATGTGAATATTGTATCATTTTGTTTATGTCTTTGCTCCTAATGGATTATTTCGGTATGAAGTATTATAGAACAAATGTCAAGGGATAAGCTGTACACAAAATGTATTCACTACTTTGTTGTGCAGAACGTGAGCTACTCGCTAACACTTAATAATCCACCTCAAAACTAACAACAACATCTCATTTGGCATTTTCATCAATTTCAACTTAAACTTACTTCTGCATAAATACTTACTTAACCCCCCTTTGTATACTATCTACAGGTGAACACGAAAAGGAATCGGAGCATTCTCCTCTCCGGAACTGTGGAATGTCGACAAACCATCCGGAGTCTGCGATACCCCGGACCTCTACACCTGGTGCTAACTCCGACATCAAGTCAGCCACGCGGTCTAGATTCATTAAAACACCCGTACCACCAGCACTACAAAGTAAAATTTCAAATGTGCAATAAGTATGATTTTCCCGCCAACACAAAACAATAAATATACAAACAAACAAGTAAACAAAAACATTTTCTATTCAGTAAATTTGATTGACGTAAGTTTATGTAATTATTGTTATTTAAAAGTCTCTAAATTGATTTTATTCATGCATCTATTTATTGTAAGATTAAAGAACTGAAAACGTATAGTAATGTGTATTGAATAATACAAAATTAGCATTTAAACATAGTACCAACCTGCTTCCGGCTAAAATCAGCCGTTGTGCTTTTTTAAGTCCTCTAGGAACTAGTTCTCTTATTACTTCTTCGATTATATGTGAGCCTAAGAAAGAATATCCATCTGTAATGAGAAAAGCATGATCGAATTACATAACGAAGTATAATTACTACATACATATATGTAAATTAAAGGAGATGGGGGGTATACGTCAATGAGAAAACAACTGAATGACAAACACAATAAACAGCTGCGCCACGAGCGCATGATACGCCCATCGTCTTTGTGTGATTTTTTATGCAATAATCATAAATCGTTTCTGAGATATGGCGCGACATGTGAAAACCCCCCTTTTTAAAAAAAAAAATCAATAACTCTAAAATAAAATTTTGAATCATCACCAAAAAGTATACAGATCTTTAGATTAATATAATTAAGAAGTTTGTAAAGTTTTAAGCAATAATCATAAATCGTTTTTGAGATACGGCGCGACATGTGAATCCCCCTCCCCTTTTTTTAACAAAAACTCAATAACTCTAAGATAAAATTTTGTTTCATCACCAAAAAGTATACAGATCTTTAGACTAATATATCTAAGAAGTGTGTAAAGTTTTAAGTAATAATCATAAATCGTTTTTGAGATATGTGACATGTGAAAGAAACACCCCCTGTTTTAGTTACAAAGTCCCGTAACTCAAAAAGTTTGAATCTTATTTTCACCAAAAAGTATACAGATCGTTTGACCATCATAAGAAACAACTATGTAAAGTGTCATGAAATTTGGATAAGTCGTTCTCAAGTTACGGTGCGACATGTGGACGCCTGACAGACGGACAGACAGACAGACGGACGCCGAACATTTGTATACCATAATACGTCCCGTCAAAGTTTTGACGGGCGTATAAAAATCAATAACAGAAGACACCTTAAGGTCAACATAAGTCTTCAATTATAGACAAGTGTCCAGTTCTAAATCGACCACAGTATAGAAAAGGTTTTAATAAATTTAACAAATCTGTCTTTTTAAAATACTAAATTCCCTAACAGACAAAAAACATTAAGATATAAATAGAATACAACCAACACGAGTTTGTTTTATTTTGGAGAGTACGCGTAAAGGTTGTGACTTATACCAACAGTTAAGATCTGTAAATATATAAAACATACCTTCGTGCACAACTGTTCCTGTCCAAGAATCACTCGAACAATAAGGAATATAACTGAAAAAAAATAATTTGTAAAGCTATATGCTGGAATTTCATGGTTTTTTTTTACAATCAAAATAAATTCCTAGCCAACGTTAACATATACAGAATTTACCTAGTATTCTAACTTTAAATATAATGTTCTTTGGATGATATATGTGACTGAGTTTTTAGTACAATCGTGTAGTTGTCAGTAAATATGAAAATATAATAATAAGGAAGTTTGTTACCCTTTCGGAGCACCTGAGATCTTCCCCAGATTTGAATGGGGTTCGTGTTGCTCAGTCTTTTGTTGTCAATGTTGTGTCTTTTATACTGTTGTTTGTCTTTTTGATCGTTGTTTTTTTGCCATGGCATTGTCATTATCGGTTTCGACTTATGAGTTTGAATGACCTTTTGGTATTTTTTGCCTCTCTTTTGTTCCTTTCTTTTTTACAGCATAGTCAAAATAGCTTCTTTCAAGCAACACGAGATATATGATAAAACTTCACTGTTTGTATTGGTGTTTTAAAAGCATAGAATAACAAAATCCATCTAACGTTAAGTGATTGAATGTATGGGGATGTCTTTAAAGAATATGTCAAGATTCAAAAACGTGTATCATTTACAATGAATACGTTCAGAATACTAGATAATATATACTTACACCATATTTGCATTGAAATAGTAAGAATTTTCTTTCGGATCCGATGAAAGTAATCCATTTACTATGATAAAAAAGAAAATATTAAACCATTAGTAGCCTTTAAAACCGTGATTTTATGTTTCAAAATTACTTTACATGTCCGCAAATTATCAAAGGTAGCTCCCAGTCTTCGGTTTAACATGTAGAAGCTGTTTTACGATTGTTTTTTTCTTAATTCTGTAAAACGCGCGAGTGGGTGCCAATGTGTGTGACAAATCTCTTAAAAATCTTTTTACAAAGTACAAGACATCGATGAGACAACCATGAACAACAAACAAACAGAAACAACCCCAAAAACTCTCAAGAAAACGCAAATATATTATTTCATAAGGATTCTTTCATCGACCTATCAGTTTAAATTTATTTCCTTTGTATTTAAAGATCATGTAAATTTTACATATTAACCCCAGGTGTTTAAGTGTTCATAAAAATCTTCTGGTTCTTCTTTTCATATTGCAAAAATGAATTTTTATTGTTCAACTTTATAAGACTGATGGAGTTTTAATATTCACATTATAAGCTCTTAAATTATAGGTGTTCAGCATTGATTGAAGTCTCGATCAATTTATCAAAACACGTGCGATATCGATGACGCAATAAACACAGAAAATACGAAACGTGCAGTGTTTGCGATTATTGCACGTGCCCTGCAAGATAACAGGATTTAAATTCAAATTTTAATCAGTAAAAATCAAAACATGTTGAAAATGTTATCTTGTAAAGTTCAATCAGTAATGGCTTAATCTATCAAAACCAATTTCGTCATGATTTATTCATTAAATTGACTGCAAATTCGAACTGAATGATATGTGCCTATTAAAAGTGATTTTTTACAGACCACACTGATCAATCTCTTTGATGTTGATCTTTATGTCTCTTGTCTTAATTAAACACGATTACTTACCATTTTACTAATTAGATTTTCATGTAAAATATTTCTTAAATTACGGACCTGTTACACTGCTATCTAAACTTTGGTTCTTTTATCGTTGTTTGTTGTTTGTTTCAATGATAAAAACGGTTCAAAAGTTTTAAAAAAGGATTGACTTATAGTTAATCGGGTACACCTTTGTTTTTCAAATGTTTTAATTACAATGACAATTCAAAGAGAATTCAGGCAGCATGGATAGACAATTATTTTTGTCTAATGCCAAAAGTATGTTGAAACGTTACTTTATGCTGTATTCTTTACCTCTTTGATATCTGAGAATAAGTTGGGATTGATTTTACTGAATATTGAAAGAAAGAAACACGAGAGCATGATGAACACTAGGGACGAGTCTTAATTTTGCTAGATATCGCCTTTTAGTTTTGGAGCACCGTGTTAATGTTTGATAAATCTCCGGTTTTACATTTATGTCCATTGGCTCCTTCTGCTTCTTGGGTTATTCGTCAGATCATATATATTTTTTAGCCGAACAGTCCTTTTATTTTTCTAACGTTTATTCGTCAATTATCCCAGGCTTATAGTTTAGTGCGCCAGACGCTCGTTTTGTTTAAAAAAGACTCATCAGTGATCCCTGAATCAAAACATTTGGAAGATCTAATGAATTACCAAGTTAAAGAGTATTGAAAGCCAAACATTGTACCCTAACATTTACTAACACCTTTTATGTCTGATGTAGACTTGCTACATACAATTCCCTTTCTTTTATTTCTTTCTTACTAATTTATATGTTCACTGGAAACTGCCAGTATACTGATTGACCTTGGAGATGTCAGTATAATGGTAATCTCTTAGTTATAGAAGAAAAATTGTTAAAGGGGCAAACTTGAAAAAAAAAAAGAAAATTAGGAAAGGACATGTAGCAAGTCTATGTCTGATGGTAGTAATAACAGTAGTGTTTCGAATGACTTATGACGTTATACTGATATATTGGGTAATATTTTACAAATGCACTTCCAACAAGTATACATCTAGAGGTTCCATATCAACGCTTGCTTTGTCTAGTTGATTGTTTTTTTTTTGTTGTTGTTAATTTCGAATAACTCAATGTTTCATTTCAAAAAATATTTTCACATTGATGAAAACTGGCATACGAAGTACAACTGATACTACCAATATTACTAAGTCTATAAGTTAACATCTTAACCCAATCATTCCCGGACCTGTTACCGAGGCTGAGAGAAGTTTTACTTGTACACTATTAAATGAGTCCCCTTTTTATTTTATAACAAGTATTTGAGGAACGTAGGTAAATAACTGAGGATATATAAAGTGTTGATTATATATAAATTGGGGATGGGTATGATAATTCTCTTATACAAATTGTAGACCACAAATTAAATGGATTATTTTTTCAATGAATTACGTTTCTTAATTCCTCATTAGAATTTTATGTACTTGAACGTTCTATAGAAGGTGGAATGAAAACCTACTGAGATTTTTTCAATGTAAAGAATGCTGTTGTATTAAGGGAAACAGCAGTCTGATTAGTAAGAAAATAATTATCAGTCATTAAATCTTATTTTAGAATTATCAGGTTTTGTTAATCTGTTAAACCTCCCTTTCTCACAAGGGTGGTCTATAAATGAACCGAAAATTCCAATGTATTTTTCATGTTCAATATATGAAACTTTCCCTAAAACTGACGTTATATAGTGCACTATTCTGGTGACTGTGTAATTCAACTTTAACAAAAACTTTCTTTTGAAATCGTAAAATATATTTTAGAACTTACATGTTCGGTTCCTAACAAAAGTAAAATAATAAAACTATCTTCTTTTTCTTAATAGTTTATATACTACATTTTCAATATAAAGAAATAAAAATAAGTATAACCTTGGCAAGAAAAATCATTTGAAAGTTGGAAGTTTGTATGGATTTTCTAACCTATTTAACAATGTTTTGTAAAACAAATACACTGCCTTTTCTACAGCTATTTTTTGCACTTTTGACAGTTACACTATTGAATATCATAACAGTGTTATACATTGATATTTAGACCATATGACAGGTTTTCTTTGTTATGATACAATGCATAAACGTAAAAATATGGAATCAAGAATGTCTACTTAACATTCCATATTTAGACGAAATCATTTAAAACTTTTTTCTGTACTTATCGTATAATTCAAAAGCTTGACAGATTTGGACCTTCAATCGTTATAGATTTTCTAAGAGACATATTACCCTAACTAAACTCTTTGATTTTTAACTTTTGATGATCATAGATATTAAAAGGATATCCTCTTAAGATTGCTTGTGATCTTACAACTATGATATTGTGACCTTTGGGTCTTTCTGCCTTTCAAGTAGACTTAACTTCTTACCTCTCCGCAGGTGCGGCCAGCTATTACTGCTCATGTATGACCTCCATCCAGTGTTTTGCCATCGTAATCGACAGCTCAAGTCGTCGAAACAGTACCATCCACCTGTCAATCAAATATATATCAAAGGAAAATCAGATTACAGGTAAACATCTACATTGATTTGATCTTTGAATATTTATATAACATGCATTTTTGCATTTGTTTGCCATATCTATGTCAAATAAAAAGATTAATTACAAATACTTGGTACATAACATGTATTTAGGCATTTTAATTTCGTTTTCCATTTATTAGTTTTAGTGAACTTGAGCCATTGCATTCTGTTTGCTCAGTGATTAATTGGAAAAGAAATACTTTAATAATGCAAACAAACATTTTATGCTGATCCTTTTAAAAAGCAATAGCGTGGACAATTAAATACTTATTTCAAAGAAGGTATCAGAAAGATCCATTATACTTGAACTTATTTACAGTAAATGCATGTTACATGCTAATTTTTAACGCGTAGCCATTTGAAATGTTTAATCCAGGTTTCGTATATTAAAATATCACTTTTCGAAAAATTTTAATGACTGACCGACAGGTTTTTTTTCTAAATAAGTGAAAAGAAAGGTTATTATTAGACAGAGATCATGTATGTTCATGAAATACTTAGAATGCGAATGATCATCAAATGTGTTATGTTTTTGTTATAGTTTCTTCTCAATTTTTGGTTTTGGAGTTTTCGGATGTTCAAGTTCTTGCTTAATGGTCGTTTCATGATCTTGGTTAGATTTCATATAAATGAACATTATACCCATAAAATAAATGGAGTTCAAAATTGGTATTGTGCTGCTGTATATTAGAAATCATTGATCACGTAAACTAAGAATTATGATTCAATTCCTTAAGGCAAAGTTGACCCAAGCCGATTTTGGTTGTTCCATTTAGGCCCTATTTGAGGATGTGGATGGGGGTTTACAGAATAGAGAATATGGGCAAAAAATATAAAGAATAGAGAAAAGTTAGGTGTTAAAATATAAAAAATAGAGAATAATGGGCAAAAAGTATAAAGAATAGAGAAAAATGGCATAAAAATTAAAGAATATAGAAATGAAGGACCCCCCATCCAAACCCTCCTATTTTGGGCTTTAAAACGTTTATATTTTGTCTTTCCATTCTTTTTTTTTCATCTCGAGCGTATATTTGTACGCAACGAAAGTTATTCTAGAAACAAGTGTTTGTCGCAAGGAAACCAGTATCACATAGGCAATTCTACAAATTTCGTTCAATCAGTAAGAAATTAAGCTTCAATCTAATTATTTCTAAATTTTACGCAGATGTTGATTTATTAGTTTATTTATTTATTTATTTATTTATTTGTTTGTTTATTATTTATCGTAATACGCAAACGATGTTTTGTAATCAGATTGATTATTTTCGTTTTAGAAATGGACAAAGAAATTCATTGATGATTGATTGATTGTTGGTAATTTAACGTCCAATATTTCATTTTCAGGACGAGAACAAATTAACAATTCATAAAATAAGTAGGTCCTGTAATAGGGATCGACCGGAATGAAGGGCGGGAAATTTGGACGACCACTGGAAAATGTGGATAAATTAGATAGGAACAGAAATTTAGCCTTGCAAAAGGCCATCTACGGACCCGTCAATGAGCTGTTGCAAGGGTTCTTAACGTGCACAGAGCGTGGCACTCTCTCAACACGCGGCATCGGATTTAACTTCCCCATTCGGACCGGATGTTGCTGTGTACTTACACATCCCGCACAGCCAAACGGAAGTCCCAATTTGGCATGTGTATCACTGCCCGTCAGAAGAAGACCAAAGTGACCATAAAAATTATTTCTATTCCACAACCCCATTTGACAGAAATTCAGGGGCATAATATACTACATAGGAAGAAGTTCGTGTGTCTTTATTCTTGTTTGTTTACGGTTTGTTTCCCCTATCGACAACTTCCCCACATGTGGATCCGGATCGGATTACCCTTCTCGAGAACCTGGGATTCCCCACGGTTTTTGTTGTAGTTCGTGTTGCTCAGTCTTCAGTTTTGATGTTGTAATGTTTTTTTACTGTTGTTTTTTCGTTGTTTGTTATGGCATTATTTGTCCCTTTTTTATTCTTTTTTATCGATTTATGATTTTTATTGGCTTTTGTGTCTTCTTCCTATTCTTTTCTTTGAAACTGTTTTATTTTAGTAGGAAATGTAGTATTGTCTTTACTTATTCATTTTATTTACTGAATTTTTGGGATTTCTTATAATTCAACAGAAACTGTACAAATGGTAAAAAAGTGAGGAACAACTCTTATACACAATTCCTCTTAAAACACTTATATTTGCACAAATTGTTTTAAAATTTTGAAGCATTAAATTTTCATCTTCATGTCCTTTCTTTGGCTTAATTCAAGGGTTTCCTCGATCAAAATATGCCTTATTGTCATTAATTCCACCAAAATGATTGATTGATTGTTTGTTGCTTAACGTCCAGTGGCAAATATTTCATGCATTTTCAGGACGACCACCAATATGTGCCTTAATTTATTATTAAAAGCCGCGAAACAACGTGTCTTCGATAAGAGATCAATGAGGATAACTTTTTTTAAAAAGCCTATGTCTAAATAGTCATTTGTTCCATACAGTTAAAGGGAAATTTCTGTCTTCCAATTCTTATATAGTATGCTGAATGGTTTACTTTTATAAATTGTAACTTGGATGGAGAGTTGTCGCATTAGTACTCATACCACATCTTCCTATATCTATGATCTTTTTTCATTTAGGCAGCCAAATTCATATCCGTCAATGATCATTACTCACCTTCAAGAAAAACGATCCACTTTTTACTACCATACGATTTTCTCAGGTAATATCTGAAAAAGATTTAATAAAGCTTTTAACTTTATGAAATCATCAGATTTATATGCTATAAAATAGTAACACGATCAAAGGAAACTGCTCAGATCAGAGCACACAAGGTGTTTTGATATCTTCATTCATGAAATGAATTGAAACTGTCAATCAGACGATTAATATTGACCTCAGGGTCAAGTACTGTATTTACGTTGATGGATAAAAGTGATCTTTAATAGAACTTTATATTGCTATTAAGAGTGATAGTTTTGTTTAATGTTGTTTGTCTACGTAATAAATTTATACCAATGTATATATCATTTAATTCTACGCTCCTATAGGCATCATGGCTAGAATTGCTTTCTGGCAACTTTTAAACATTTTCAATGAAACCTACTACATGTACATGGTATTAGCATTAATTCTTAGGTAACTGCATCACCTGCATCATTGAATGATTGTTGGTTGGTTAACGTCCAGTGGCAAATATATCATGCAAGAACAAATTAACAATAAGTACAATATGTAGGTCCTATAATAGATGCCGTCCTGGATGAAGGTCGGGGAAATTTTGACTGCCACCCAAAAATGAGGATATATTAGATACGGACAAACATTTTGCCTTGCAACAGGCCACCTACGGACCCCTCAAAAAGTTGTTTCAAGGGTTCTTAACATGCAGAGAGTTTGGCACTCTCTCTACACGAGGCATCGGATTTAACGTCCCCATTCTGACCAGACGTGGCTGCGCACTTGTACATCAACGGACGCCCCTCTAAAAAGACCAAATAGATCATATTTCTATTCCCCAGTCACCCTTTGGGGGTAACGTTTATCAGATATAAAGTCATAATTTATGTGGTGGAAGCAGAAAAAAATATCGGTTCACCCTTTTTATCAATACACGAACAAACACTGTAATTTTCTGTTGATAGACATAAAATCGAATACTCAAATACGCGTACGCGTATTTAACTACAGTTCGAATGATAAAATATCGCAGGGTACATTTTCATCAAACATGTATTTTTTTTTAAATAAGAACTGACAGAAATGCAATGTAACCTGAAATCATATTATTCGGTGTTTAGCGTTGGATTTGTTAGTTTCGGACAACAATTTTTATATTATTTTAGTAAAAAAGACAACAAAAAGCAAACAAAACAAACAAACAGAACCCTAAAACAGACAGCAGCAACAACAAAACAAATAAACATGAAACTTAAATGTACATTGCAACATTCTTTATTACATTTGTAACAAGTTTCATTGTCTGATAAGCTTACTTTGTGCATGTACATTAGACATATACAGATCAGACATCAAATTAATGTTGCTACAGGTCTTTAACAAATATAGTGTTATGCATATGTATCCAAACATCGCAATATGGCAAGAAATTTACTAATACTTATTCACAAACATATAAATTAGAGACCTTGTTACTAAATAGATGCTTCCACTAATGTGAATAAAATCAAATGCGGAATAATCGCAAATGGAACAGCAACATCTCTAAGACAGTTGGGGCAAGTGGAGTAGTAAAAATCTACACAAATTACATTTTTGTCACTCCATTTGCTTGTCAATTTTGGCTTCTTATTCTTTTCAATTACAATTCTTCTTTGTTTCAGCCAAACTAGACGGAACAAAATTCAAATTATGCGACGAAACTACTTCTTGTCAGAATGGTTTAGTGAAACCGACAAAACATGGAATTTATTCAATTACACCTGATTGTCTTCTTATCTTGAGAACAATAAGATGAAAAAAAAACGGCGACAACTTATAATTGAATAAATCAATTCTGGAATCCTGCACATTTTTGTTGCAGCTTCAATAAAATATAAGTAATTGTTCTGCGCGTAAGGATGGGTATAGGATCATAACATACAATTACTGAACACTAGAGGTCGGTAACATCAAAAGAAAGAAAATAATTTGTCAGAGAATAGCTACAAAATAATGATATAGATTCTCTTTGATGTCGGTAAACATCAAACGCTAATTAGTACATACCCCCTATCATGCAAAATCAGTGGTACTTGCCTGCGTTATGAAAACACTGTCAGAATTTTCACTACTTGATACGAAGAGAGCGATTAAAGGTTCAAAGAAATTGTTTGTGATTATCAAGAAAAATACCTATTATATTTATATTCGCTATGTTTATATTTTGATAACAAATATTTTGAAGTAACCTTTCACGCTGTATACGATAATTTCGTTTAGTTGTGATACCTTATATTCGAATTAAAGTAAGAAGAAATGTATGAGTGTGTAATACATGAAACATACAAAACAAAAAGGATACGATTTTCATGCGCACAACACGTGTCGCTGGAAAACATTCATTACGTACGCTCGTGATCAAATGTTGGAAAGCAAAACTTGTTTTACGACGTTTTGCAGCATGGAAGTGAGCAATGAAACAGAGAATGTAACCAGAAAAATACCAAAAAAACCTATTCAAATTCAGCACTTATCTTAGAGAATTTGAAAAAAAGATTATTGTCCCCTTAACAAACCATATTTAACTAGAGGAATGCAAGATTAACTTTGTTTTTATGTTAGGCGAGAGTAAAGTCATCTTCCTCTCGGGATAGAACTAAATTTTCCTTTCAGAATATGACTTTATGGCCAGAGACATATACAGTTTATAATTATATCTCTGATTAAGCTAAGAAAACTTGATGAATGAAGACAAAATTTAAACAAAAATACCACTGTAGTCAACCGTTAAAGAAAAACATGAAATAACCTCCATGCACCAAACAATTTTTCCAAACCTATAGTGTCCAATCTATGTTTTACCTGTTTTGTTGATATGTATAACTGATTGATTTCTGTCGAAAAAGTTCGAAGGATGATACGCACATTGGTGCCGTTTTAGCGACGAATTTCTGACAAGATTACCGTTACATCGCGGAACAAAATAAATCAATAATGTAAAGAATTGTTTTTGGCTGCAAGATATGCATTATTTTCATGTTTGATGTATCAGAATACCAGACATTTTATTACACTTCATTCGAATTGCAACTTTTTGTTCAATTAAAAGTTATCACTACTATAACTAAATGAATTACTGATGCAACAACGTTACAGACACAGGAAAAAAAAAACCCAAAAAAACAGTGGGACAAACAAGATTGAGATAACCGTAAACAGATCATGTCAGATTCACAAACATCATATATCAACTGGAACAACGGATACATGTACAGGGGCGGATCCAGCCATTTAAAAAAAAGGGGGGGGGGTTCCCAACCCAGGAGAAAGGGGGGGTTCCAACCATATGTCCCCATTCAAATGCATTGATCGGTCAAAAAAAAGGGGGGTTCCAACCCCCGGAACTCCCTTCCCCCGCCTTGGATCCGCCACTGAGGTAGATATAGGCATCACACACTGAAATCTTTAGCTTTTGCAACGTAAACTCAAGTAAATACCGGGGGTGTTTGGAGCTCCAAACAGATAATCTAGCAGAGTGTTCAATGACCAAATCGTAGTATATTATTACCAGCAATACGGGAAAGGAGCCAGATGAAATTGTTTAAAATACAGACATGATTCTTGAATTTGCTTAAAACAGTACACTTCCTTGAAAATTTAAGGGAAAATTTATTTTACAAAAAAAATATAAACAACCACCTTATTTAGCTATTAAAACAATGGTGAGAGAGATACCATATGTCGTTCAAGACGTAATCGCATTTTTTGTAGATGAAAATATGTTTGAATTCCTGGGTTCACTTGCTACTTAGCAAGGTTACTGATTGGTAGTGATGTTAACACGCTTCATATATCTTATCCCACTAGGTATGACAATACATTTGATGTGATGAATCTTTTAATTACCTGTTAAAATAATCACCCTGTCAAATTAGATACAATTTACACGATGTTCGTCTGTTCGGTTTACCCAGTCACCTTGTAATGAGATGGAACCCAAAGCGCAGACGAACGGAAGTGTTTTTTTTTATTTCGTCACCTCAATTGAGTTCAGGAGGTACATTTTCATTGCTACAAGAACTGATTATTTTTACAAATTTGCAGAAAAAAGTGTTTCTTTTTTTCTCTCATAGTTATAGAAATAAAACGTTTTCCAGTAAAAATAATACAATTCAATGTGTTACAAAGCTATATACTCTAGCTAGCAGAACATGACGTGGACAGTAACTTTTGCAGTGACATTGTATTTATAATTCTGCAAACGTCATTACGAGGTAGAATCTGTTTGAAAGGTGCAGATGAGCATTCCCATAAAGAAGTTAAATTGATTGATCGCGTTTGACGTCCAGTGGCAAACATTACATTCATAATGAGTTTAACATGTACTAGTTCACAAGGTATTGGTTTTTAAGAAGACAAATCACTCACTCGTTATTCTACCTTCGAGCCGATATGCATCGATCGTGTTTGCTTGTTTTCGTTATATATATATAATCTAAGAAAATTCGTCCTATAATAAGCCAAAATATTTTGTGGAGTTCAAAGATGAGAGAATTTTGATGTTTTAGTTTACAAATATTTTGTTTTCATTATTATCGGGAAAAGAAAGATATGGAGTATTAACTATTGATGAATTGTCAGATCACAGTTTCTCAGAAATCCGGAGTCCACATTTCTTCAGCGCAGATCCCTAACTCCAGAGTTCGGAACCCTATCATTGGAGCCCGGTCGAGTCTTATTAATTGAGCCTGGAGTCCTATCAGTGAAGTCCGGAGCCCAAATACATTGCTCAAAGGAGCACGGACCCTATAATGAATAGCCAAGAGCCCAGCGATAAAACTAGGTTGGAGCTTGAACCAAGAACGACGAATAGCCCGTGTTATACCCAAATATTAATAATTGACGTTTAATATGCATATCGTCTTGATAAAGTACAAAGACAAAGATTAAGTATAAACAAAAGACAGATTCTACTCTATCATGTTAGTTTGGTAAATGTATAATTACTCTGACCCTTTACAAATCCAAGGCGGTAAACAGTGGTAATATATATCAAAAAGATTTTCTATCTTTTCGTGTCAATCAAACATTCCTGTATCCTTTATACTATAAAAACTTCAATCATAGTTGTGTTTGTATCTGATATGTTTATACTTTCATTAATAAAACGATAGGTTTATAATTTGCTCTTCTTAACTGGCTCTTTTATAGTTGGGGATTGCGATCAAAATGGACGAATGATCAGCCACTCTTTAACAAATAACTTTTTAAACATCACAGCAAAAATTGTCTTTGAACACTTTTGTGATTGGTAACAGGTTTTTGATGTATTTACCCTTAAGACCCAAGTTAAGGGAACCATTTTCCTTCGTCCGTGTCGTATGATTTAGTTGCATAAAGATTTTCGAAGATAAAAGGGTCGAAATAAAGACTCGTAATTACCTGGGACTTTATAAAGAGAAGAGCAGAGAAATTTTTTTTTTCATACTGTGACTCAATTTAAAGTCAATATACTTTTATAACAGAAAATATTATCAAATGCAAACTTTCTACATGTTCAGACAATGTTCATGGGGTTATTGTTAAAGCTAGCTATTTGTATTTAAACATATAAATATCTCTGTACAAAAAACTTATTGAACAAAAATAAATTTAAGTCTTTGATCTTTAATGCTGTGTACATTAGGAAAAACTTATGGGACAAGATCCAGAATCTCAAAATAAAAATAATGTAATTGTGGATAAGTTAATTAATACTCATAGATCTGAATGAATGAGAACAAGTTCTTTTTTTAGATTAAAAAATACTACAGCATCAATTCTCCGATAACAGCCTTAATAAGATGTCAATGTGTAATTATATGGACTCCACAGAAGCCTAGCAACCGAGGGCAAAGTACGAGGTTGACATACTGATTGCAGTGCTCTTGCTAGCGCTCGTCATTTTTCGCCATTTACGAAACGATTTTTGAAATGACGGAAGGTATTTCTGATCAATTTCGACTTATATCTGCAAGTCGATAACATTCTATTTCAATTTCAGTTTAAGGCAGTTATTGTTATATTATTAATTTATGGTATCTATATCGACTATATTATTTTGCATCTATTGTTTTAAAACAAACAATATTATTGTGTAATCTAGCTGTTGTTTTCAGACGCTTGGTCTTTACTGTATGACTATTTATATCATTATCATTGGTTGCTTCAATGGTTTTACTTTCTGGAGACATTTTATAACTCTGTCACAGCTTTCACGTGTTCTTATCGTCCATCTGATTTTATTTTCGGTCTTGCAATTTTCCTGGCTCTGGCATGTATTTGAGTAAATACAATGCAAGAACATACATAGAAAAACATTTAGAAAAAAGAAAGTTTTCATCGACGCTTTTCATGTATGAGATCAAAAGGTACCTCGTATAATGTGAAGCCTATGATAAAAAAATTAGATAAGTGTCCATCAACCAAATTGCCTGAAAATCTCCAATATAAAAATGAGAAGATATGGTATGATTGCCAATGAGACAACTCTTAAGTCTTTATAAGTCAACATGCGCCTTGTTAATACGTACTGATTTTAAATCTTCTACTTGGTCTGCAGATAGCCTCTCCTGCTTTTGACATTTTTGGAAGAATAAAGTTACTAAAATTCAACAAAATTTTGAAGAAAAAAAATCAGTTCTATTGTTGTCTAAAATTATATCAAATCAATTTCAAAAAAATAAATGAATGCAACGCTATGGAGCTCATGATGGGTAACCACTTTGTGGCTAACCTTACAATATGAAATTGTTTTTAGAAATTTACATGTGTTATCTGCCAAATTGTTATTTATAAGGCATTTATTATTTTTACATTTTCATTAACATATCCGAATGTTATAGACATATGGTTATAGGTTTCCGGTAAGTAATATATTTTGAAGCATGAAAAATTATAAAAATAGTAATACTGTCAATTAGTTAGATATTTCATATTTTTTCAGCGGAACTCTATCAAAATGTGGGATATGGTTGACTTGTTTTACAGACAAATAGTGAATGTACTTATAACCTTGGTTTCCGCAGTTACAGGATAGATGCCTCACATCTTGACGTTTTGATTAGTCGTGGTCGTTACGTTGAATTAAGGCTTTAAGAAAACAAACTGAAAAGACGTCATCTCATTTTTTTTTTAACCTGTGACCAATTTAACGATGATACATTATAATTATTATTATAAACTCGAATTACTCAGAGGTACCTGGGGACCATGTTTTTTTGGGCCCTCCTCCTTTTTTCTAAAATCCGTATTTTTTTCAATTTCTTTTAATTTCAATTATTTTCGCGTTTTTCTGTAATATATTATTACAAATATACTAGAAATGACGTATTTACTATTTACTATCAATTCCCAGTTTACTGTCAACAGCGGTCACTATAATATACATTATCAGTGACTGCAATGGATAGTAAACTAGGCATTGATAGTAAATAGTAAATAAAAAAAATACACTAAAAATCTGAATTAAAAACTCGGAGGTTTACCCCTACAATGTATGAAAACAGTCCTCACTTGAATATGTATGAGCTCAGTAGTATTAACTATTCGAGTACTGTCAAGACTTTCTGAAGACAAAACCTTTTACAGACGTGATAATTACACAAGGCTCCATACTTAAAATGAAAGTAATTATATTATCAATAAATGCTTTGGTGTGAGACTTATTCCTCGAATCTCATTTTTCAATAGTGTGTAGGCTATCTAGAATCAAGTTATCCAGAATAAACGCAAACAGACAGTTCAATCTACATTGCAAAAATTACAACTTTATATTTAGAACAGTACAAAGATACAATAAGTTGACAGTTTGTACCCGCAGGAATTCCAACAAACTATAAACGTCTTCAGTAAATGAAAATTTCTGAAATATTCACACGAGTTTTGCATGTGACGCCAACAAAATTAAACGTAATGTTTCCATTAAACAAGGTAAATCGACAAAGTAATGATCAAATTGCATCAATTTCGAAGAAAAAAGGCCACTAAAACATCTAACAAAAGAAATAGCGGATGTGAACAGCATTTTTATTTATTCATAGTCACGAAATTTGTAATGATCTATATCCCATTCATCACTGTTGGAAATTCTTACTGGTGTCTTAAAATAGCTCTAAAAGTGTATATAAATAAACAGTAATCCCCATCATAAAAATATTACCTGATGAAAATAGATTGATATAAAGCTGTTATACCCTAGTGAGTTGACAAAAAGTCAAGAATGCCTTTGATTCGTGTATTGAAAGATAGTTTGCTATAATTCTATTAAGACTTTTATCTAGAAAAATTGGTTTTTGGTTGATCTGCGATATTTTATAATTTAGGTGAAAACTTGAGTTATTACAGGAATGTATCTTACTATATTGTGGTACTAAATTTATCTTTTGCTTTTAGAAAAGGAATCTGAATTTGTCGCGTTGGTTCAGAAAGGTTATTACTGCAGTCACGATTATATGAAACAGTGATATTAAATCAAAATTACCAATTTTAAATCTATATTGACTGTACATTATAAGGCTGGCATCAACACACACACATTTAAAACAAACATGCTTACTGTTATTCAAAGCACCAAAAACATACAGAATAAAAAACATATTCTATGTCATGCATTGATCATTTGGACTCTCTGAAGCGTTCCTGGTAACGATTAATTCGTAGAGGACAACAAAAACTTTATACAGTTCATACTCCAGTCTACGATAACAAAATAAAGGATCATAAAGGGAACGTTTTTGATATTTTTGCGGTTGCTTATTGCACAAAAAAAAACTTTTAATAACGATAGATCCGGTTACCAATGAAAAGTCGTCACAATTTATTCAAAATCAAAAGAAGCTTCTTTTCAACTTACATTTACGTGTAGGTCCAAAAATGATAATGATTCAAAGGTCAATATAGTAACGTTTAAGCGTAAAGTAACTTCTTTCAACGTAAATCGATTGTCTTTATCTAAATGTTTTGATATCTTATAGTATATATTGCACCAGCTTGTGAATTTGATTCTGCATCAGGTTTATATCAGTTTTCAGATAGCTGTTTCTTACATTGTATTTACCCAGTTGTATTCGTTGTACAAGACATTATATTCACAGTTGTTTATATTTTCTAAACGATATTAGAAAATAACTAATATATATATATTTGCATCACTTATTTTCATGTCCTATTTTAAATCATTTTCATTGATATGGATACAGTTGATTTTTATTTCTCACTTAAATGTTTTGAAAAAGAAACAAACCAACAATTTTAACTGATCCGTTGTAAATTCACTGACAGTATCTAACACATTTTGATCTGTCTACTTAATATCATTCATTTGAGTCTAATTTTATTATTATTGTGATTATCATAGCCATTATTATTAAAACTAACAATTCTGATCATCTTTGATGATTAAACGTATTTTCACTAAAAGTACATAGTATGAAAATATTATACATACCCTGCTGGCGAACCGTCATTGCACGTAACGGTTTTATTTTTAAGAAAGTATCGTCTGAATTTTGGAACTTCTTTGACACCACAATCATGTGACTTTTGAGCTATGTCTTTAAGCGCTTTCATGAGAGAATCGGAGTTACCAAGACTCTCTAGTTTATTCACATCAAGAGGCATGTCATGAATTCTGTTATACGGTTGTTTGCCACATGATACAAAAACTATAGGCAAGATCCAAAATGTACAAAAGTAAGAATTCTTCATTGTTTGGTAAACAAATAATGTAAAAAGTTTGTATTTAGATTAAGAAATATGTCCACATATGCTTCCATTCCGAAAATATTTCATCGCTGGTAAAAATAAATACTTAGGAGAACCAGTCGCTTAAATTAAAAAAACGTATTATAAAAAACGTTTCCTTTAATCTAATTAATAAACGAATTGGAAGTCCAAAGTGAAATCAATATTTTGATTAACACCATTATAATAGAAATATTAACGTGTTAATCCACCAATGTCTTTCACTAAAAAATGCATAAATATTTCAATATTTTTTTTTCAAAAATATATTCATATATTCATGTTTAAATTAAATCTACACGTAAATAAATTATAAATAATAAATCCTCGTGTTCACGTATTATTAATATATCATTCCTTAGTTTTCATGTACATTGTAATCCGTAAATACGCTAAACACATCTTTTCATTCAATTTATATATAATATATGGAAAATCAGTGTGAAAAACTTTGTATAACTTGCGAAATTAAAGAAATTATCACTATATCCTCCCAATCTTTTTTCCAATTTAACATCATTCATTCAGGTATAATCTTTGCCCATTGGCTAATTCCTTTACACCACGCCTTTCTGATTTGCATTGAATTAACTTGATTAATAACCTCTATGTTTTCTTCCGTTAAATGATGACAGAAATACAAACGTTTTAAAGATCTCTCTACCTGGACCGAGAACAAATCCGTAATTGCACCGTTTAATATCCGTGTTAATTAGTACCTTTCTCTAAAATCACAGTTGTTCGATTCACGATAAACTCGTTAAGGTAAAATAAAACCTAAATATTTTGTTTAGACAATTCTCTTGGTCGTGGTAGTATAGTTTACCCGATTAAAAATCGGGCTTTGATGTACAAAGTTCTCTGTGAGATCAAAGGCACCGCGCTTGGCAGTTACGAAGAAGATTCTACTGTGATCTCAACGTAAGAAGATAAAAACTATAGGTAGAAAGAGGTGAAAATACGCAGATTTGTTTTGCATTTTCGCTATAGATAAAATATGATAAACCTTAAAAAATCTTGTGGAACAGGTAAACATCAAAGTTAACTATCATAGGGACATGTACATACGGTGAACTTATTAATCGCTTCAATAATAAAAGTCACGGCACTTTTATAAACACCTTGCTACAACAATTAACAACTTCGATTTTCTCTTTGATAGTGGATATTGTGTTATTATGAAGAGAACAAGCTGTTTTTGTCAGAGAAAGAGTTTTACCTGTGGAGTTTTCATGTCTAAAGTGATAAAAGCTTCACACTGCTCAGCAGTAATCTGTATACTTTGTAGGTAGAGATTGATGTATTTCTCACAAATGCGTTAGATTTATATATTGTTTTTCTGATTGATTGTAAAATACTATATGCACAAGACAGAGTATCGCTTTGAAAAAACACTGTTTGCTATGAGTCTGCCAAAGAAAACAATGACGATTTTTATTAATATCAAGCTTACCCTAAACTAACGATGACAGCATCTACTTTATTACTATTATAATTATTTTTTTTGAAATTTACAAAACGAAGATTATGCCGGTTCTAATTCAACAGGTTTCTTCCAACTATACGATATATATGTATTAAGATTGAAAAGAAGTTATTTCAAACCCAAATGTTTTGATCTATTTTATCTGTATACCCTTGTTTCAGAACAAAGCATATATACAACAGTGCATTAACTGCTTTGCAAAACATTCGTACCATTAAGCAAATGAACTCTTATATAAATGACAAATCAACTAATGTTTGTAATTTGTTACCGCGAATCTTTTAAGAGTGACCAAACCATTTTATATTTGTGTTTTGTATAAAATTACTGACTTTCGTTACAATATCTGCCATACCAAATACTTCAGCATTGATAGATTGAAAACAACCATGCGAACAAATGTGAGTATTACAATGCCTAAAAGGATAACAGAAATCACTAATTATTGGACCACAGTAGACCAACTCAAAACGGGACCAAATCAATATAGGACAGCCAAAAGGGGCTTTATATGAACAAGAAATCTAAAGGAATATCAAGGTAAAATAAAACTTGACAAGGACAACAAAAAAAAAGCAAACGGAACCAAAACAGTCATGGAAAACTAAACAAACCAAACAAAAGAGACATTAAAACACAACTGTTAAACAGAAGCAGACATAAATCATGGGAGGTGTAAACAGTAAAATAACAAAAATGCCGAACTCCAAGGAAAATTCAAAACGGAAAGTTCTTTATCAAATGACAAAATCAAAAGCTCAAACACATCAAACGAATGAAAACAACCATTTTATTCCTGACTTGGTACAGGCATTTCCTGATAAATGATATTTTAAAAAAGAAAACATTCAGACACAAAAGAAAGAAATTGAATGACAAATCGATCTAAAATGAAAAAAAATCAAGCGAGTATCCAAAGAAATAAGTTTTTTCTACTTCTTTTGTTGTCGTGCAATTTCATGGTTTCTTACATATCACTCTGACAGTGACAAAGATTGTTTCAAATATTCTATAAACTCATTACAATCGATCAAAACATTTTCTCAAACTTACATCTGTTTCAAGCGATTTTTTATGACATTACTTTAATTCAAGTTGCAAACACAATGTCTTGATAAGAAACTTAAACTGCTACTTTACTTTGTGAATTCGTAAACAAAGCCAACCGTTGTTAAACTATTTAAAACATCAAAAACCGTTCAAATTAGAATTATACAACTAAATGATAAAATAAATTTAAAATAGAATATATTATAGGACCTAATCATAACAATTAGGAAAACCGAAAGTTTTAATCAGTTCACTGAAATTTAAAAGAAAGACAGTAGGGTACCAATGTTCAAATCTCGTAAATAGATTAGAAAGGGGCACATCAAGGTAACAAACAAAAACTGAGGCCATCTCATGAACTCCAAAAAGAGGCAAGACCGGTTGCGTCGACAGAGTAAGCGTCTCCAGTGATACATGTATCACCCGCCATGCGAATTCATACTCAGCCAAATGTCACGATCGGATATAGGTATCAATCGATAAAATAACCGATCAGACGACTTTACTGGTATCTAAAAATCCACAAACGCAAAAACATTTCGCTAGTGAGTTGAGATACCGACACATCGTAGTGGTCAACCAATTCGCAAAGGTGACCGTAAAGTTTATGTAGTGTCGATTTCAGTCTTTCTCCCTCACAACTCTGTTGAAGCAGTGTTTTTGTGTAAGGAGCACATTCCTGCTACTTAAGTCAGAATAGTGTGAACATGTACGCGCATAACGTATTAACTGAGATATGAAAACACCGTAAGACTGAGCAGAGAAAACCAGTAGAAGAAAAGCTAAATGAACCATAGCAAAACAAAGGAACCAAAAAGGGTCGTATCAGAGCAAAAATCTGTATGGAGATTATCAAGCAATGAAAGATCATTGGGGATCTTGATATCAGACGACGAAAACAAAAACAGACAGCCAGATAGATAGATACAAACAATTACAAGAAACCAGAACATGAAAATCAATGGAAGACCCCCTGAAGAGACAAACCAAAATGAAATAGATAAGAAAAACAACAACAAAAAAACAATTCAATAATGAAAAGTCGAAAGGGGGCCAGTATTGAAAAAAAATCTGGAAACTGTGAGGCCCTAAGGTAAATATTTCTGGTATCAGTTTTTAAATGTTTATGTATAACTGCATGCATAAACAGTAAAAACTTGGAAGTTTAATTGTTTTATCTTAGGCTGAATTGACAAATACATTAAATAGATTATATTTTGTTCTTTTGTCGATATCTTTTAAGTGGACCCAAGCTTTTTGAGAAGCAAATCAGGTGTGATTTGTACATACCATACGAACATTACTACACAGCAGAAATTGTTTTGGAACTCGCGTTGGTCGAAGTTTGAAACTATGTAAGTTGTTTAAGACGGCGTTCGGTGTATACCCTGTTGTATCAAAAGTGTTCTTTATTTCAAGCTCATTGGAATGGATTAAATGTAGATATTTTTTTTTAAATCTCATCAATACTGTTATTTGGTTTTTTTTTTAAAAAAGAAGCACGTCATCTATAAAGCGGCAAATACTGTCCATAAAAGATTGATCGAACATCCTTAGATTTTTTTCAATAACCCGTGGTTTCTTCGTATAAATGAGAGGCGAAAGATACCAAAGGGATATTCCAACTCATAATTCGAAAAAAAACTGACAATGCCATGGCAAAAAATCGAAATAAGACGAAAATACAAATAACAGTTTACAAAACACAACATAGAAAATTAAAGACAGAGCAACACAAACCCACCAAAAGACCGGGGTGATCTCAGAATTTCATATAAGTAAAGAAATAAATGTAAAAAAGAATGGTTCACAATTGGTGCTCATCGGATAACCAATCATTTTTGAAAAAAAGACTTTTCATTTTATCTAATTAGGACTATTTTGATTGAAAACTTCAACGTACTAAATACTTGTTCTCTTAAGTATTTTTTGTTTGAATCAATGTAGCTTTTGACAAAAAATGTAATTTTTATGTTTTGATAAAAACAAATAATGTTTACCTTCTTTTTACATTTTTCCCTTTTAACAAAACACTGTTCTAAAGATTTCAGGTGATTTAATTTGACATCATGGATTGGATGTAAAGAAGAATGTTACATGGATAAACATTCCAATACAAATATTTCATTATTTTCTAAAGAATCAACAGCTGATTCCCAGGAGGGTAGATCTTGTCTTATTAATTCAATCTCTCATGCAAAGTTGACCTTAGACAAATTTGGCTATTTTTTAGGTCCTTTTTTGTTATATAGCTCTTCAACTATTTAGGTTATTATACATTCTCGGCTTTCAAATATTCGGCTTTGAGCTTTCCTGAAGAAGGTAAATCCAGAAAAGCGCTTCGGACGCATGACATTTATAACGTGTTGTTTTCATTTTATAACAGCTATAAAATGAGAGTCATTGGAAAACCAATTTATATTAGGATACATGAGCAGTTATGTAATGAATAGATGGAATATTATCTCACAAAAGGACAATGCTAGCTTCCTTTCATTCTTCCTAAGAAGCTCATGTCTAAAATATGTCTTATGAGAATAAAGGGCCAAGTCGGCAAGAAGAGTAACGTAATAACTGGGCCAATGGTCGCTTTGCTCGTTTGTTTAGTTTTTATTACTTGTGCAGTGCTTCTTGTTTATTAAAACATATATTTTCAAAACCATA